TACCCGCGCAACTGTCGGAATATCTCCACATATGGAACAAGTTTTCTTGGCAGTGGGGCTAAATAATCACTCAAAGAGTGTTGGCGGTTGCACCATTTTCGGGAAGTACTGTATTGAGCTTCGAATTATTTGACTAGCGTTGTGCAGCTCAGATGGTTACTCTTAGATGATATGCCATACGTGGTAAGGTGTAAGAACATAAATTCCAGGGCATCTGATAATACTCGATTGAGTTTTCGTTCAGAATTCAGAATTCAGTACTGTACAGTAAGCGAAACTAGCATTGCCTCATTAAAACCCAAGCAATGCCAGTTCAATCCCTGTGTCGTCTTTGGCTTGAATCTTTGTATCAGTGGTTACCCAAAATTCATCTTACAAGCTTCCGTGCTCATCTATGTTGGTATATTCATCAAGAATGTAACGGCCATCATATAGGGCCAGCTCCTGGTTCAATTTTAAATCGCAAGAGCTGTCAATTAATCCAGTAGAGGTGCAATAGTGGATAGTCCAATCACGGCGCCGAAGCTCCTGAAGCTCCTCAATCTGGCGTAAGCTCCTGAGTGGGCCGCAGATGATTGAGAGTTTTCTGCTTGACGTTGAAGCAAAGGGCAAATAAACAGCCTCAGAAGTTATCAAGCATATCTCATGTGTCGCAAAACAATTGATCGGATTCTGGAGGATAAGAGAAGCCCCCGGGAGCTAGAGGATGACGAGAACCGGAAAATTGTCCCCAGTGAATACCATAATTAACTTGACGTCTTCTCAGAAATTAAATCAAACGAGATGCCGCCCTATCGAAAGGGTGTGGATCACCAGATCCTGCTCGATGGCACCCTTACCCCAGGATACTGCCCTTTGTATAAGCAATCATTTGAAGAACTGACTGTCTGCAAGGAGTATATTATAGAAAAGCTCTTACTTAGCTTTATCGAGCCTAGTTCAGCCCCATTCGCGTCTCCTGTGCTGATAGCCAGGATGCCGAATAGTAAGCTTCGCTTCTGCGTTGATTATCGAAAGTTGAACGCGCTCACCAAAAAGGACCGCTATCCCCTTCCCCTGATTAATGAATTACTGCAACGCCTTGGTCACGCTAAGATCTTTACGAAACTGGATATCCGACAAGGATTCCACTGCATACGCCTACATCCTGACGCAGAAGAGCTCTCGACCTTCCGAACACGATACGGGTCATTCAAATACAAGGTAATGCCGTTTGGAATGACCAACGCCCCCGCTACATTTCAGAGGTTCATTAATACTACGTTAGCTGACTATCTGGACGATTTCGCAACTGCTTACGTCGACGATATCCTCATCTATTCTGGGACAAGAGAAGAGCATGTGGAGCATGTCAGGAAGGTCCTCCAGCGTCTGCGAGAGGCAGGACTACAATCATCAATTGGAAAATGTGAATTTCCGTTGCGGAATTTTATCGGATACTGGGGTGGAGTGATCGTAGGTCGTTGGATGGGGGCCTTCTAGTTCAGAAACCATTCTTCAAGGAGTATACTACGGATTGGGAGTATGCAGTAATGAAGATGGAGTCATCCTTCTTTACACGCCACCTGCTTGGTCATTCATTCTCTGCAGCGATGACCTGGACAGAACTGCAAGAACGCGCTCTTCCATGGTTGACTGGAGGCGGGACTGATAGAACTGTTGCAACAACCCTCAAGGCAAATCATGAAAATGATAATATGTCTTAGTGTTGAAAGTATCTTTTTCTTTTGTATTTACTGTGAAATATTTGTTCCCAACTTCTTTATTACAATCACCACAGCCGGCATAGAGGGGAGAAAAAGACCGCGAGATTAGTCATACATTAAAAGACAATATTCGCAAAGAGGTAAAAATGTTGGAATCTTTGTTGGCTTCATCCTGTTCAATTACACAATGGCTGTTGTCGCTACCTATTTGATTTTCATATTCAAATGGCGTAAGTGATAGTTGCGTCGCTTGATCAAATGAAACTGTTTTTGTGAGATGATGGGGGAAAACACCTATTATGACTAGGAGAAACTCGATGGGTCATTCATTCCTGTCAAAATATGGCGACCGCCATCAATACAAGACTAAGTATTCGTCAGCATCCGTTTGAATATGCTCTGTATTCATTCTATCTAAAACTCAAGTTAGTTATCTTCAAAATATCTAGACCAGCTTTACCAGGAAATTAGGAGACTCAGAAACTCTTATATTGTTATGAGCATGCCAAAATGAGGTCAAGTCAAAGACATGATTGATTGTTGCTTTAGCTAAGATGAAGAAGGTGGGGGATTGCGACTCAAGGAAAAATCCATATGGCAAATATGAGTGAAGTTTGCGAAACCTTGAAAGTTAAAGGAACGAGCTACTTTACTAAGAAATGCCAATAGTTCTCGTACGGAAGTAAATCAAAAGTCAAAAGCCGAGCTTGCAAGGCAAGGTCTTTAGAATCTGCTATGTACCATTGTTGTAGCCTATAGAGATTGCAAAAGGATAAACAACAAATACTTCCCCGTTAATACACACTCCACGACTATGCCTGCAAGCAGCACCTCGCTGTTATAAAGCTCATGAATGGCGTGTAAAGGCTGAGTACTATCGTACATTGAGATATGGGGTTCACTAGTTCATAAGTTGCCGCGGCTACTTGTCCACTGATAGAAGAGGAGGGGAAACCCCAGATCAACGCTCGTGACTCGGTCATTCTCCGCGCTTACATACGAGAGTTTCCCCTCCTCTTCTCCACTGCGAACTCCTCCAACTCCCAACGACATGGCTTCGGAGCGTGGAGAATCCAGACGACCGCACGCCCGCCGACGCATCATTCAGACCTGTCTTCCTTGTCATCGAGCGAAACGAAAGTGCAATCGCAAGAAGCCGTGCTCGCAATGTCTTCGACGACATACAACCGGTAGCTGCGTCTATGAAGCCATCGCCGCCAGCGACTTGGAGCTGCTGGAATCGAGTGATACCGACCTCGCTGCCGAAAATGCCACTCTGCGTTCTCGCCTCCACGATCTCGAGGCTGCTGCCAATGATTTTCGCGAGCAATTGCGGCAGACGAAGAACCTGCTAGCTCAAGAACAGAGAAAGGCCGCCTCGTCTCCGGCACAATCGTCGTCGACGGGACACAAAGACGAACAAGGAGTTTACTACGGTCGCTCGTATTATCTCGGCGGCCCAGCTGCACCGGATCTGCTGCAGCAAATGATGTCGCTGTTGCCAGAAAACCAGACGGACATGCTCTTCGCCTTCTCGGGGTCGTCGAACAATCTCCAGCCGATGCTGAACGATGCACCATATCTTTTCCCGACCTTTCCGGCCGCCTGCGGTGTCGAACACATGCTTGCAATCCTGGACGATATCGGCCGAGCTCGGGCGGATTCTCTGCTCGACAGTTACTACGAACTGGTCGATCCGCTCCACCACTACGTGCCTACGCCCTGGTTGATGCAGCGTTATGAGCGCTGTTGGGATCGGGAAACCCTGCCACAAGCCCAGGAGGCTGCCCTCGTCTTTGCGGTGCTCGCCTTAGGTAATTTGGTCTCGGATAACGAACGGTCCAGCTTCCTGTTATCCGCTTCGATGCAACTGCTTCGCATCTCCAACATGCTCGCCGTGCCAACCCTCGATACGTTGCACAGCTTCTGTTACATCGCGGTATACATGCAACATCAAGGCAAGCTGAGTGAATACTGGCCACTGCTCGGGCTGGTCATTCGGCTGGCGCAATCCCTCGCTCTCCACCGCGATCCCAGCACGATCCCTTTGCTACCGCCCGAGGAATGGGAAATCCGCCGACGTCTCTTCTGGGTCATCGCGGCGCAGGAGACGGCGCTGAGCTTGATGTTTGGTCGTCCATACGGGATCGGGTTCGCCGACTGTCAGATGCCACAGAATGTCCGCGATGACGAACTCTTCAACCCTTCCAGCACAGTTCCTCGAGAGCCCACCTACACCGAAATATCATATCACCGACTGACATGGGAACTGGGGGAGATGACGCGGGAGATCATGGACGATGCGTTTCGGCAGCGTGGACCGGCCGACGTCAATCGTTTGAAGGTCACCGAATCGCGCATCCGACATTGGCATGAGACGGTGCCGGTCGAGTTCAAGTTCACCCCGTCGACGAGTCGTGATCTGCAAGAGTGTTCTAATCTGGAGAACCGCAAGCGATCCGTGCAAGCGGTCCTTTTACACATCATTGTCAACCACAACATTTTGGTCTTGTTTCGCAAATCTCTCCTCGCTAAAGGGGACTGGGAGGTTCGTCGGCCCTGTTACGAGGCTGCGTTCAGCATCGCCGACGGTTGGAAGGCCTTGCAGGATAACTTCCCCAAGATGGCGCGGGTGGCATTCTTACACTGGTTCCGGGCCTTCCATGGCGCTCTCATCTGTTTTATCGCCATTCGCATGGAGGGTCGCGATTCGGGCTACCGCGACAAGGCACTGGCGTCATGGATCTCGTGCTTGAGAATCTTTCGTCGCGTGCAAGACCAGAACCCGAGTATCTCAGCCTGTTGGCGAGCGCTCGGCCGACTGGACGTCGTCATGAAAAAGGAAATGGCAGGGGAGCAACGGAGCTGGCGCCGTACTATTCCCAAGGACGTCAAGGATTCGTCGTATAATCTCCTCCTCGGACCATCCTCATCGCAACCGGATGACCATTCTCACAGCATGACGCCTCCCCATCAATTGGCCCCCTTGCCCGAGAACCCTCTGCTAGGCGATTTCAACGTGCCGCCGGCTCCCAATGACGCGAACGAGCCAGCGCTAAATCCAGCGGCTGTTGGACTGGATGACGGCATCGAGTTGCTCTACGACAATTACAATGCGAATATTTTCGATCTAGACATTCAAAACTGGCCTGCGTGGTTAACGGGGTCCAACAGTCCTCAGTACAGCACCTATTCGGGCGCAGATCCTTCCACGGCGAAATAAAGCATGAGGAACACAACATTCAAATTTTTAACGCTTGTACATAATGAACCTACATCCCCTCCCAACGCCACCTACAACGCCTCCACCTCCTCCCGTGTCTGCGTTTCTGGCGTTGGCTGGGCAGCGATATCCACCGTCCCTCCCGCCAGCACGTCGACATCCTCAGCATCCAGGCGCAACTTGGCGCCAAACACGTAGGGACCGTTGTCATACACCGTCGTCCGTCGCATGTCTCTGCGATTCGTTTGATCCTCAAAGGCAGTGGCGCGATGCATCGTGCATCGGTTATCCCACTGGACCAAGTCGCCGATGTTCTTCCACTGCACCTTCAGCTGGTACTTTGGTTGCTGGGCGTGGTTGAGCAAGTATCGAATCAACTGCGTCGACTCCTTGTTAGACATGCCGATGATGCGGCGCAGATGGCTGGCGATGTAGAGTGTCTTGCGGGATGTGTCGGGGGCCGTCTGGACGACGGTGTGATATGCCGGCGGGATAGTGATCTTCTCCTGGTCGGTTGGTTTGTCGAATTCTTCGGGAGCGGCCAGCTTGCGTGAATGCCAGATCCAGTGTTCTCCGATCTTGCCCTCGAGGCCTTGCTTGACGTCGGCAGGGAGGTCGTCGTAGGCGGCTCGCATGTCGGCGTAGAGGGTCGCGCCGCCCGAGGAAGGGATTTCCACGGCTCGCAGGGCGCTGTAGCAGGATCGGTGTTGGTTAAAGGAAGAGTCGGTATGCCAGAGTCCTATGAAAATGAGTCAGTTCGATCATGACGGGGGACACTTGCTTACGGGGCGCTTCTCACCATTTCCCTTGCTATGCCACCACGCCCGGCTGTGCTTGGAGATGATGTTTCCCTCGGCGTCGAGGTTTCCCGCATCGTACAAGTGCGGCGACGATGCTCGACGAGGCTTGTTCACGCCATGGATGCTCTCCAGCGCACCGAAACTCTTGGAGTATCGCACATGCATATCGTCGTCGAGGCCCGTGGACCGGAAAGCAAGCACGCCATATTGATTTTGCAACTTGGCCAGCTGCGCGATCACGGGAGGCGACAACGGTTTGGTCAAATCGACGTTGGAGACTTCTGCGCCAAAGGTGCCATTGACAGCACCCAGAGGCGTGGCTTTGGGGAGAGTCGAAGACGCAGTAGCAAGGCCGCGGCAGGAAATTCTCCGGCAAAGTTGGTGCGAGAGAGAGTACATGATGAAAAAAGTGGTCGTAGTTCCGTTGGCTTATCGATCGTGTCTTTGTGACTCGTTCTGATTGCCTCGCCATTTAACCCAGACTAACTCCGCCATCTCCACGTTCTGGCGAAAAGGCGGCGGACGAAGTTTCCCCCCATCCGAAGTGCTTTGGACACGGACTCGAATGGGGCTGGATACGATGCCATTACCGTCCGCCATCTTGCGGCGTTAAGACGGCGCAGAGCGGCGTTGTGCGGGGGATGGACCATGCATCGGCGGCCGATACTCGAATGGGATATAATAAATGCATCACATATCATCAGTATGATCTGAGTGGTCATCAATAACATCAATATCATCATCAACAGCCTTGAATCTTTTACCCATCACCATGACTGTCGCCAACGGATCTGGACGCCTCCAGGGCAAGCGTGCCCTCGTGACCGGCGGCTCAATGGGGATTGGCGAGGCCATCTCACGCAAACTGGCCGGGGAAGGAGCGTCCATCCTCATTGCCGATCTCAACGCCCAGGAAGGCGCACGCGTTATCGAAAGTCTTCGCACCGCTGGGACCAAAGCCGAATTCGTCACCGCCGACGTGACGAAGCGGTCGGACTGGGAACGCATCGCCGAAGCCGTTGCCTCGCATTTTGGCGGTCTGGATATCCTCGTCAACAACGCCGGTGTCGCATATACCGCCGAGTCGTCGCTGACGGTGTCCGAATCGGCTTTTGACAAAGTCTACAACGTCAACGTCAAATCCATCTTCCATTCCGTGCAGACCATCTTCCCCATTTTGATCGACGGCAAGGGTGGTTCGGTGATCAACATTTCTTCCATTGCTGCTTTGCGCCCCCGAGGCAAACTGGTCTGGTACAACTCCTCCAAGGCGGCCGTCTCTAATGCCACCAAGGCGTTGGCCCACGAGTTCGGTCCTCAGGGTATTCGCTGCAACGCCGTGTGTCCCGTCTTGGTCCCCACGCAGCTGGCAAACAACTTCGTGCCAACCTTCGAGAACACGGAGGAGGGTCGCAAGAAGGCGGCCGAGCTCTTCCAGATTCCATTGGGAAGATTGACGACCACAGACGACGTGGCAAACACGGTGCTGTGGTTTGCTAGTGATGAGAGTTCGTTTATTACGGGAATGGATCATAGTGTGGATGGAGGACGAAGCATCTAGTTGGACATTGTATTTCCATAGATGAATTGCAATAAATGAGAAGATATTCGATCGGTCTATATTTATATCATACTTTGCTCCCTCTCTCTCTCTTTCTCTCCTTTCCCCCCCCCTCTCTCTCTCTCTCTCTCCTGTATTTTCTTTCCTATATTGCTATTGCTAGAAGAGTACAATAGCTTCGGTCATTATATATTTATTATACTTCTTTCTTTTTCTTTCCTTTCCTGTTCCTATTTACTATAAAAGAAATACGTTCGGTCAAATGAATCTCATATATATTTTCAGCGAGAGAAGTAGAGAACTACCGGATATCAATCATTACATATCTAGTCTAAGCATCTGGCACCGCCACTATAATAGCCTTAGTGACGGTAAACTCCTCAACCCCCCATCTTCCCCCCTCAGTACCAAACCCACTGTGCTTGACTCCACCAAAGGGCAATTCGCCTCCAGCAATGACGCCTGTATTGACGCCCACCATGCCCGTGTCCAGTTTCTCGGCCACTCGCCATATGCGAGCGCTGTCCCGCGTGCAAATATAACTGCCCAAACCCACGTCCGACTTGTTCGCCAGCGCAATAACTTCAGCTTCGGTGTCGAATGGATACAGCGCCGCGACCGGCGCAAAGATCTCCTCGTCGTGCGACAACATCTGCTCGGTCATGTCCGTCAACACTGTCGGTTCGAAGAAGTTGCCTGATCCCTCGATGGGTTTCCCGCCATGCAACAGTTTCGCCCCTTTACTGAGAGCATCTTCCACATGTGCCTGCGCCTTCGTCACTCCCCTTGCAATTGTCAAAGGTCCAACCACAACGCCCTCCTCGAACCCATCCCCGTTTTCAACGCCTGGAATTTTGCCACGAGAGCTTGCGCCACCTTCTCGCCGATCCCGCGCTGCACGTAGATGCGATTCGCGCACACGCATGTCTGTCCGGAATTGCGTACTTTGGCCCCTATCAACGCCTCGACGGCCGCATCCACGTCGCAGTCGTCGAAAATAATAAACGGCGAGTTCCCCCCCCAGCTCCATCGACAGCTTCTTCAACGAGTTCGCGCACTGTTGCATCAGAAGTTTCCCCACGCTCGTCGACCCCGTGAAGGACAATTTTCGCAGAATGGGATCCTCGCACAGCGCCAGCCCAACCTCCTGCAATCGTCTTAGACTCGTCACCACGTTCAACACCCCCTTGGGAATCCCCGCCTGCTCGCCCAGATACGCCAGCGCCAGCGCCGTCAAGGGCGTCTCCCCCGCCGGCTTCAATACCACCGTGCACCCGGCGGCGATGGCAGCCCCGGCCTTGCGCGTGATCATAGCCGCAGGGAAGTTCCAGGGCACAAGGCAGGCCACAGGGCCGATGGGCTGCTTGATAGCGAACTGGCGATTTCGCGTGTTAGCCGCGGGGATGATGTCGCCGTACTGGCGTTCGGCTTCACCAGCGTAGAACTCGAGGTAGCCAGCGGCGAATGCGATCTCGCCTTTGGCTTCCGCGTAGGGTTTCCCGTTCTCCAGCGTCAGGATCATCCCCAGATCACCGGCGTTGGCGAGCATCAGATCCGCCCATTTCCGAACGATCTTCCCGCGCTGCTTGGGCGATATGTCGCGCCAGGAGTTGAAGGCGCTTTCGGCTGATTGTGACGCGGAGGAGACGTCGCGTGCCCCCATCTCGGGGATTTTGGCGATTACAGTGCCATTGGATGGGTTGATTACGTCGAAGGTCTCTTCGGTGCTAGATGTGCTCAGCCATTCGCCGTTGATGTAGCCCTTGGTGATGAAGAGGGAGGGGTCGCGGAGGGTGGGAGTGAACAACATGGTTGCGAGTGAGGATTGGTTACGGTGGCGTTGAGAAGAGTGGAAGTGGGTTGCATTCTCTTTGAATCTGTGCCATAATAAATAATATCGTATCGCCTTGTTCTACAAAGACTGGATGGAGATTCGCCTGCGGAGTTAGACCGGCCGACCGGCGCCGCCGCAAAAAAACCGGGCCAGTTTATGGAGATGATAAATGGATGGAAAAGCAATTCACCTATAGCATATGGTTCCATCACGATCACTTGACCAAGATTAATTCGGAAACACGGCCAAAACCTCCAACATGACAGACCTCCACGCCGACGCCGCGGAATTGGCGCATCCCAACCGCATGCAGGAGCGACTGCAAGCCGGCGAAGTCGTCAGTGCCATGTCCATCCGGTATTCAAGAGGCATTGAGATCGTGGGATATGCCAAAGCCGCGGGCATGAATGGGGTTCTGATCGATTTGGAACATAGGTATACATTCATTTCCTTGCCGAACCTCCCTTGTACATAACCTAATAATAAACTCAGCTCCATCGATCTCGACCAATGCGCCCAATTCACCCTAGCATCGCTAGCCCATGGCATCACATCCATTGTGCGCGTACCATCGCTAGCCGGCTCGGTAGTAGGCCGAGTGCTAGACGGCGGCGCACAAGCCATCATCATCCCACACGTGAAGACGTCACAGGACGCGCAGGAATCCGCCAGCGCAGCCAAATTCTTCCCGGACGGAAACCGATCAGCGATTGGGGGATTGGCGGCGTTGAGTTACGGCGTGTTTCCGACCATCGTGGCCAACAGGGCGGTCAACCAGCGCGTCATGTGTATCATCATGATCGAGACCCTCGAGGCGTTGGAAGCCGTTGACGAGATCGCCGCCGTCCCCTACGTGGACGTGTTACTCATCGGCACCAATGACTTGTCGGCCTGTCTGGGTGTACCGGGCGAACATGACGATCCCCGAATTACGGAAGCTTATGCCAGGGTCATTGCTGCCTGTCGGAAGCATGGACGCGCTCTGGGTATCGGGGGGGTTGTATGCGCGTCAGGATCTGATTGATCGGTTTATTGGTATGGCGGATGGTATTGGGAGGTTTATTATGTGTGGGAGTGATCAGGACTACGTGCTTGAGGGGGCAAGGAGGACAGCTAAGTGGTTGAAGGGGTATAATTCGTAGTCTTCACTGGTATGCACTACTACTCTGTATAGATGATTCAGAAGCATACCTTAGGGCAAACACCGGCAGGATTCAATTCAATTTTACCATTTAGCCGTGTCATTCCCCGTCTTAACACCGCAAACCTTGTCACTCCCCACGGGGCCCCGGGATTGACTTGCTTAGCCGCTTAACCCTAATTTCCCCACCTTCTCCGGAAATCATAGTATGTGGGGAGGCCATGCGGAAGATGTACCTTAAAGCCGGTCCATTCCTAGTATTGCCATCCATCTCTGGTCCATTGCATACTCTACCAACTCGAAGAAAACTCGAGAAATTCGCCATCATGGGTGTGCTGCAGAACTTGCGCCTGTGGGAGAACAATGTCACCCAGATCAACGAGTATGGCGAGAAGGTCACCACCAAAGTGCCTCGACGCATGCCGCCGAATCCCTGGAGGATTCTTCGTTTGCTCTCGGCTAAGTCGTATGGATACTTTTTCATTGGAATGTAAGTCTCTGCCTCTCTCTTCGTGTTTGTCCTGTTATATGCGTCTGACTCCTTCGACTAGAGCTGCCTGGACAGCCGATGGATACGACTTCAACTCGGTGAATCTCGTCACGACGCAGCTGTCCGCCAAATACGGCGCATCGCTGCCCCAAATCACCCTCTCCATCACGCTAACGCTGCTCTTCCGTCCGCTGGGCGCCATGCTACTGGGCATGGCCTCGGACATGTGGGGACGCAAGTGGCCGCTGGCCATCAACATGTGGATTCTCGCCGTGCTGCAAATCGGCACCGCCTACGCGAACACCTACGCTGCCTTCATCGGCGTGCGTGCGCTCTTTGGCATCGCCATGGGTGGGGTTTGGGGTCTGGCCGCCGCCATGGCTATGGAGAACATGCCCACCGAGGCTCGCGGCTTGTTCTCTGGGATCCTCCAGCAGGGATACTCCATCGGATATCTCTTGGCAGCGGTCGTGAATATCACCGCCGTTCCGAATACCAGCGAGGGATATAAGGCCATTTTCCACGTCGGGGCGGGGCTTTCTGCCCTCGTGGGGTTGATTCAGATCTTTGTGCCCGAGTCAAATATCTTTGTCGACGAGGGTGATGAGCCAAGGGTGTCTCAGGCTGTGCGGATTAGGATGTTCGTCAAGGATCTGAGGTTGGTGTGTAAGCAGTACTGGCGCATGTTCTTGTATTGCATCTTGCTGTGTACTGCCTTTAATTGGATGTCCCATGGTGCCCAGGATATGTACAGCACGTATATGAAGTTGGGCAAGGGTTTTAACAACACAGGTATGTCTCTTGCTCTTATAACCTCTTTTCTAATCCTTTGGTACTAACCATGACCATGATAGACGCCTCTCGCGCAACGATCGTCGGCCAAGTCGGCGCCGTAGTCGGCGGCACCATCTGCGGATACTACTCGCAGTTTTTAGGCCGTCGACTAACGGTGGTGCTGGCCTGCTGCTTTGGACTGGCGATCATCCCTCTCTGGTCGCTGCCCACGGCCTGGGGCCCATTGGCTGCGGGTAACTTCTTCCTGCAATCGGCCGTCAATGGCGCATGGGGCGTGATGCCGGTGCTGCTGAACGAATACGCGCCGCCGCAATTCCGCGGCGCTTTTCCGGGAACCGTTTATCAGATCGGAAACATGATCTCCGCCCCGGCAGCAGAGATCCAGACCCATGCTGCCACCGCGTGGATCAAGGATGGGAGACCAAACTATGGCCAGGTCATGACGATCACCCTGTGCATTGTCTTTGGCTTGGTGGCGGTCATCACGGCGTGCGGGCAGGAGAGACTCGGTAGTCACTTTGAGCTGGTGAAACGAGCGGGTGCCGAGGAGAATATCGTGCGCGAGATGGCGGAGATGGGTATGGTGAAGGAGGACTTGGGGGGTGCGAAGCATGTGGAGGTTGTGGGAGACAAGGTGTAACGTAGTATTATTACGATTTCACAATACACCCCGATGTGATATGGCGATTTCCACGAGTCCCATGTGGTACTGTACTACCTAAAATACAATTATTGTATAAAATTTGGCTAGTGTATTTGTTTAAAAAAGAATATTTGACTCCATACATATATTAATATAGGAGGATCAAGATAAAACAGAGTCACTATCCCAGAGAATTTTCTTCTCGGAAATTGTAGATTCGACGAACAAAACATCTTCTGACCAGCAATTTCCCCTATCTCAGACCTGCTTTCATCTTTTGGTAAAATATTGATTATCTGCTATTTTGATTATACTTTTTGACCGGATCTCGTAATTTTGCCACCGCCGCCATTTTACTTTGAATTCGTCGTGTCTGTTTCATAGTGGAGCAGACTCTTCATTTCAGGGCTTACGCTCTTTCTATCAATAGTTCTGTTGGCACTATAGTCAACGTTGCTATTACTAGACACTGGTGCGTTAGGGTGCAAGAAATTATCACGATTTGGATGCTCGCAGCCCGGCTCAATGCGTTATAACCATAGTAATCATTCATAGTGACTTTCGCAACATCGAACGACTTCAACAGATAACCAAGTGATGTGCTTTTTTCTTTTCAAATTTTTTTCGACCGTACGCTGGGGATAAATTTTCGGCGATGCCATGTACAACGACATGAACTAACTAGTAGTAGTAACTACCGGTGGATTTCTGGTGAAAGCTAGGCCCGCTGCATATATGTTGTACAATCAAGAGAACGGGAAAGCATCCGATTTTGTGCGAATTGGACGGTCGGAAATCACCGCGTTACCAACAGATTTATCGACCCACAACTACTTGGTCCGAGTCTCGCTTACTCGTCGCGGCTTGGCCTTTTTGGCGCAGAGCGGACCTTAAATATGGGGCAAATGCGACCGGCCTGCCGAATGGGGTTAGGAATGGTGGATCTGCCGTGGGAAGGGTGGGCATGGCGGGCATGGCTTGATGCTGGCTTGACCCATAGGGCCACATGGGTGAGGCTCATGGTTGGCCAACACGCAAGTTTTGGGCCCCGGGGTTGTGATCCCATTATCTAATTTCCAATTTTGACATCGTGAAAATATTTTCTTTGTTTCTTTATAATCACCCTTGTCCCATTCCCTCTTTTCCTGCTGTGCTCCCCTTACCCCAGAGTCAACCCAAAATTGTTGCAAACCTCCACTTTTGCGGTGGCGACACATTTCTCTCCTAACCTTTCACTTCCCATCTCATCATCACATCCAAAATCAGATCAGTCTGACTTTGGCCCGTGCACGCGACACCACCCCGTCGACTCTAGCACCCTGGCTGCATATTTTGATCCCTATCGGTTGGATAGTTTCAAACTTTCAAAGAAACTTGATACACAGCAGTCTGGCAAACCTCCGAAACTTTCGAAAGTAGCACCAAAATAGCCGCATTTCAAACCCCGTTGCGACAACTTCGATATAATCGATTAACCCATTGCGCATCTATTTATCTACGGTGTCACCTTACGACTCGGACTTTGACAGCCATTGCACCTGCATCACTTGCATATTTCCCCTAGCGCCAATTCTTAACATCCGACCCGGACTCATCACCATTGCGCCAAACGATATTGACTTTGCCACGCGCCTCAATCTGACTATTTTCCAATTGCGACAGTGATCAATCGGCCAAGATGTTAGATTTCAACTTCAAAGACCTCATCCAGAACCGAGAGCGTCGCCAGTTCCCGGAAGTCGTGGTACCCCTCGAAAGTGCCCCCGCGCCTACTAAAGACGATGGCTCCAACACCAGCCTCGACCGGGCTTCCAGCCAGGAAAATGGCTCCGGAGCCGGCCCTCAAAAGCGTAGCACACTGACTTTGGAAGCACTCCGAGAGGAAATCGATTCCAGCATCTCCGCTTCGGGTCACAACACTGTTTATGATCGTATGTTCAAAATTCAACCTCACTATTCGCCGAGTTGATATTGGCGTCGCCCTTGCCAGCCTTGCTGAACTCACAACTCAACCCCGGAGCGCGATCCCTTTGTCATGCTAGACCTGTATCTCTGACTGGAATATTATAGGCAAAGCAAAGGTGATCAACAGAGCTATCCAGGACATCGGCATGGGCCGTTACCAATGGGGCCTGTTCATCCTCTGTGGTATGGGTTGGGTCGCCGACAATCTTTGGTTGCAGGTATGATCTAATGATTTGAAATGCACGATATCGTCTTTAGCTAATTTTTGACAGGGTGTTGCTCTCACATTGACGCCTGTGTCCAATGAGTTTGGCGTCTCCGAGAATCACTCTAGGTTTGCTACCTGCTCTCTATTCGTTGGCCTGATTGTTGGTGCCTCATTTTGGGGTATTGCCTCTGATGCCATTGGACGCCGTCCGGCTTTCAACTGTACACTTTTCATCTGTGGTACATTTGGCCTCGCCGCAGGCGGTGGAAATAGTTGGGTCGCGTATGTTCTCATCATGGCTGTTTTATCAAGTCGCTTGTTGTTGACCTCAAATATAGTGTTTGTGCTCTTTACGCATGCTTGGGTCTGGGTGTCGGCGGTAATTTGCCAGTCGATGCTGCTGTCTTCCTCGAATGTTTGCCTCCCAATTCTGCCAACATTTTGAGTGGCCTTGCTACCTGGTGGTCGGTCGGTACTTTGATCTCCAGTATGCTCGCTTGGGCCTTCATTCCCAACTTTTCTTGCGCGGATGCTGCCAACTGCAACAAGGCAAACAACTGGGGCTGGAGATACCTTGTTCTGAGCCTCGGTGCTATTACCTTCTGCATGTTCTTGTGTCGATTCTTCCTGTTTACTCTCTATGAGTCACCGAAGTTTTTGGTTTCTCGTGGTCGTCAGGATGAAGCTGTTGCAGCAGTTCAGGGTATTGCCCACAAGAACAAGACTACGACCTGGCTCACCGAAGAGATCCTCAATGAGATTGGTGGATACCCCGAGGAAACCGAGAAGCAGTCTTTGTCTACAGTAGAGATCGTCAAGAGGTCACTTGAGCGATTCTCTGTTCAACAGATAAAGCCACTTTTCGCGACCAAGAAACTTGGCATCTCTAGTATGTATGAATCAGATAGCTAAAACATCAGAATACTAACATTTTGCCTAGCTATCTTGATTTGGTTTTGTTGGACTACTATTGGAATGGGCTACACCCTCTTCAATGCCTTCCTGCCCCAGTATTTAAGTGCCAACTCTTCCGACTACATCACCTACCGGAATTACGCCATTACCGCAGTCTGTGGTATCCCAGGTCCCCTCTGTGCTTGGTATCTGGTCGACGTCCCATACATTGGCCGGAAGGGTACCATGGCCGGTTCGACCATGATCACCGGTGTTCTTCTCTTTTGCTTCACCGCTTCTAAGGATCCCAACATCCAGCTTGTCTGCTCTTCTCTGGAGTCTTTCTTCCAGATGATGATGTATGGCGTCCTGTACGCTTATACTCCTGAGGTTTTCCCTGCCCCAAATCGTGGTACCGGATCAGGCATTGCGAGCTGCTTCAACCGTATTGCTGGTCTCATGGCACCTATCATCGGTATTTATGCTAGTACGACCCCTTCCGCGCCGATCTACGCCGCTGGTGCCCTCATTCTGGCTGCCTTCCTCGCGATGATCTTCCTGCCCATTGAGACGCGTGGCAAGCAAACCATGTAATTGCCATGCTACAGGAAGCAGGAGACTCAAAACCCTCCAGCATAGCGATCTCCATATTACTGCATACAAGGAATTGCCTTGATTAGAAAAGACCTGTATCGGGCTAGAGACTCGGTCCTGTCAAGCGGGAGGCTCGAGAAATTTAATTCTTATTCTATCATCAAAAGGGATCAGTGATATCCCACCAATGACTCGGAAATACCCGAAGGCGAATACTATTCCCTCTGAGGGTCTCCTCCTGATCATCCAAAAGCCAATCATGCTGCTGAGCCTTTAGATCTCTCTTGCAGAACACTGCGTACGCCAGGCAAGATATAACGTCCATAATCCATAGCATCATTGAGATTGTCATATCCACGGATAGAAATCAGTTCTGCCCCGAGGTTAACATAATCGAGAATGGAGTCGATGATAGTTTGATAGGAGCCAACCAAGGCTGTCGATGCCCCCCCGTGCATTCGTAGCCGTCACAGTAGGATACCACAAAGCGCGGTCTTGAACCTCACCTCGGGAGGCAATATCAAGCAGTCTTTGGGATCCGACATTCTGTGGCGGTGGGGCATTAGGAGGCGCTTTTCCTTGACCCAATGTTCGGTTGGTATTCAGCGCATCCAGTGTCGCGTGAGCCTTAGCCCAGGCAAGCTCTTCTGTTTCGGCGATGATAGGTCGGAAAGTGACCCAAATTCTGGGGCGGTCCTTTTCGCTCCGTCCCGCCTTGTCAGCCTCGGCGTAAATTCGATCGATCTGGTCCTTTGTCTCCTTGAGTGGTTCACCCCAGAGACCGAAAATGTCCGCGAGAGAGCCGCCAATTCGGTATGCCTCATCTGAAGAACCACCGACAGATACCGGGATGGTTCCATTCACAGGTCGTACTTTGTTACTGAATTGTTTGAACTGATAATACTTTCCGTTCCAATCAAATGGATCTGCGGATTCCCATGCTCGACGGAGGATTTTGATATACTCCTCCAAGCGGGCATATCGCTCTTCTTTGTTTAGAAAGTCGCCTTCCTTGGCTTGCTCGGCATCACTTCCGCCGGCAATAAAGTGAACAACAGCTCTCCCAGAGCTGAGCTGATCAAGTGTCGCGAGCGCCTTGGCGGCAACTGTCGGATAAAGTGTGTTGGGCCGCAGCGCGATGATGACCTTGAGGTTTTTGGTCACAGAAGCAATGGTTGCGCCAACGGTGAATGGGTCAAAATAGGATGAATCATATGGGACCAAGGTGTAGTTAAACTCATGGTCATCTAACGTGCGAGCATACCTGACCAAATAATTTGGGTCAATGGTGGGATTTGGGATTGGCTTCAGCTCCGTCGATGGATTTGGGAATGTAAGGCTGATGAATTCGGTCGGCATTATGATTGCAATTGATTCCGACTCCTTTCTTGGTTGTTACGGTTCATCCGATTCTAACCCAAGTCGCAACATGCGAGTTAAATAAGAGTAAATAAGAGACTAGGCTGAGTTATGATGACGCCAACATGTAGTCAATCGCGTCTTATCACGCAAATTGAGATTACCAATCGACTGTGATCAACTATCATTCGATTTTAGCGAGATTCTTATGGCATTTGGAGACGCAGGAATACCGTCTCATATGGCGTCAGCTACATCTTAATTACGCAACCAGTTCGTGCCGCTTGTACGTACTTGAGACACCGGATGGTTTTCATCGAATGAAAGATCGATCGGACATTTTAGATTTTAGTACAGTGGGAAATGATTATGCCAACACAAACATGACTTGCAGGCTCTCAGACATCATATCCTCCGATACTTCACACCTGGGAGTCGTCCGGATACTTCAGTGTTTGAGGCCTCCTGGCTAGCAACTTTCATCTCTCATTGCCCGGGACCGACCCATTTTTGTTTTCTGATGAATCATTTTACCCTATAGCAATTCTCGAGGGTCACTTTATATTGAAGACCCCTATTGCGCAAATCACAAATGTTGCTTCGAGAAAAAGCATGAGCGGCATCGGCAACACAAGCCCAATACGCGGGCCGTTATCGGAGCCGACGGTGCTCAGCTCTGCGGACATTTGTCTTGCAGCTGGCTTATCGTTCGAGGGATGAGACTTTGGTATATCTCAAATTCCTGGGCTGCAGTATGTTCATAATTCACCTTTCAGTGCCTTTGAATTCGAATTCTTCTCCGGGTATATATCCCCGTAATTAAGTGCATTATTCATACATCATATCTGTCCGCAGCGTCCTCTACCGGACGATACGTAAATCGCTCAAAACGTGCCGGCAAAGAGGTCCCATTAACATCAGAGCATGCCATACCAACGAAAGCACCCGTAAAGCTGCCATGCGCCTGATGTCCGCCACACTCGTCCGACAAGATAGAAGCATCAAAGACCGGCCCAATCTTATTCAGCTCGCCGTTGTCCATGGCATAGTAAAATTGTAAAGCCAGACCGCCGCGGATACTCAGTGATAACCTGACCTTACCGTCATTGGGGATACGGACTGGTTCGACGCCTCCGAGGTCGAGTTTACCTTCTGGATAGGATGCCTCGGAACAAAGGACATTTATCTCTCGCTGCCCGTCCGCATCCGCTGTTACTGCAAGGTAGAAGAAGTTGTACCGGCAGTAGTACGCGACCAGGCCAGCGAACTGTCGCTCATCAGTAGGAGCGTAATCAACAAGCACCGTCTCGGCATCGTATGAGAAATGCGTCTGGCGCCGTGCAACTAGTGCCTGATCAAACCAAGATCCAATCGATTCGCGGCCAACAAGCGACAAAACCCCATCCTCCAAAGAAAAGATCCGATCCGTTTCAGGAGTCCGCAGCCACTGGAAATCCTTATGAAGAACGCCGTCGATAAACGTATATTCCTGCTCCTGCCAGTACTTTGCGTCCACTTCTTTCCCATCACCATCGCCAGGAACACTAACATATAAAGACGGAACAGGCCCGCCCTTAACATACAACCAATCATCCTCCTGCCAGACAGCCTCCTGAATCGACGTCTCCCGCCCAAGAACACATCTCCGATGCTGTCCCACAGGTCTCCCCATCAAATGCACAAGATAAGTCCTCCCGTCCTTCGTCTCAACCAGATCCCCATGCCCGGCCCTCTGCAGCGCCGCAAAAGCCGTATCCTTCGAAGAAAGCACATGCGTCTGTGGATGCATCTCATACGGCCCCCAAATGTCTTTCGACCGCACAAGCGTACAGGCATGGTCATACCCGGTTCCACCTTCCGCCGTAAGAAGGTAATACCACCCATTCCGCTTATATAGATGCGGACCCTCGACAAGATCGAGTTCGCTGCCCTTGAAAATGTTCTTACGCGGTCCGACGAGTTTCCCCAAGGCGGGGTCGAACTCCTGTAGCGCGATCCCAGCAAATGCACGCGGTCGCTGCCGATGATCCCAGAGCATATTGACGAACCATTTTTTTCCGTCGCCATCGTGGAATAGGGATGGGTCGAAACCGGAAGAATTCACGTGGATCGGGTCCGACCAGGGTCCTGTGATTTCCGGCGCCGTAACGATGTAATTGTGTGCATCTTTGAAAGATCCATCTTTTCGCGTGACATATGTATAAACGAGCCAGTACTTTTCCCCGTCGTGTGAAAGACACGGTGCCCAGACGCCACAGCTATCCGGGGCGCCGCGCATATCCAGTTGGCTCTTCCGGGTTAATGGGCGCGTGATAAGTTCCCAGTTTGCTAAATCTTTGGAGTGGTGAATTTGGACGCCGGGGAACCATTCAAAGGTTGATGTTGCGATGTAGTAGTCATCGTTCACGCGGATGATGGAAGGGTCGGGGTTAAATCCGGGGAGGATCGGGTTGCGGATACGCGGCATTTTCAGAGAGATTAACACGAAGAGGGCCCAAGGAGAGTCGGACACAGTAACTAGTGAAATGAAAAAAAGACTGGAATTACCACGGTATATGATAGGGACGTGCGGTTGAATAAAACCCGGAATTTAGCCTAATCAAGGGCTTGGCTGGGCCTGCGGGGTTGGTCCTTTCAAGGCTGGCAGCCCAGTATAGCCTAGACATTATGAAGATATTCCCGGCGTTGCCGGTAACTTACCCTAGGCTGCATATAATAACATCTCAGACAGACCATACTATTCATCATAGTTAATTGTTTGTTTAAATTATTATCATATTCCAAGTTATTACGTACTACTACCTAGTACTACAGCTTGGAACTTCAAAGTCTGAACTGCCCAGCCTTGGCGGTGGTTGCTGGTACTACACTAGAGACGAGATAGCTTCAACTTAGGAGTAATATAAATTGAGAAAGTGCAAACCAATCTAAAACGATTATAAGTGGTCCAAAAAGTCAAAACTCAGCGTTCACTATCTAGATGACATCTTAGACATTATTCCTGTTCATAAACTTCGTAAGAATGGCATTATCTTGGTCCAGATACCAGCTGTGAGTGAAAAAGTTAGACATTTAGAAAGATATTGGAAAGGGCTCATACGTAGGGTCGGCTTCCTCTTCTGGGTTCAATTCATGTGAAAGAAAGCCGTTATTGAGCCAAGCAAAGTCCAAGTGGGACTCGGGGCATCGACTCTCCCACTCAAAGTCCTCATACCGATGACGACGAAGCAATTCAAAGTAATGCAGGCGTGAGCCAGGATGAAACGCATGCAACGCGCAATTTTTCTCGCCGTTCTTGAAAGAGCTCTGAAAAGAGTCACCCCATACAGACTTTTCCAACCATGAGGACATCTGAAACTGATAGGCCTTGGCCTTTCCCTCCTTGAGTCGGAACGAGGAATAATTTTCACGTTGCAATTTTTTTGATCAAGTCGACTGCGTATCGAGTGATGCACTCGATAGAAGTTATCATACTACCATGACCGACTGGGCTTCCAGGGCCCATATAGATGAAGTAATTCGGCATATCCTGGGCGATTGCTGACATATAGCAAGCAGGATCATTTGCCCACTGCTCTTGAAGGTCAATTCCGTTCCATCCAAAAATTGGCCAACGAGGAACAAAGGACATATCAAAACCAGTTGCAGCAATTATCACATCATAGTCACGCTGCTTCCCATCGGCTGACTTAATTCCTGTCTTAGTGAAAGGGTTAATTTCTCCCCAAACCACTCTGATTTGAATTAGGGTCGTCGACACCCCTCTCTTCCGGGACAGCTCTAAGGCTCGTGAACACATAGATCTGGAAAAGGACTTTGTTCTTCTGCCAGAAGAGATTGTGAAAGCTATGGTTTCCTTGGTGAAAAGTTCGAAATACCCGTCGGGTTCTATTGTTGAGGTTGGAGACATTGGTGGGTGGCGAGAGGTTGGCTTACTCAATGACCCTGGCCCTCAAGGTCGATCAACTCTGCCAAGGCCCAAGGCCAGGAATGCGATTAAGCTTGTTGAACAGGCATTGACAGACGATGCTAAGCAGGTGAGAGCTTCGAATTTGTAATAATTATCAGGGGAGCCGAATAAAATATACCTAGAAGCTAGCTTGTAAGTAACATCGATGGGGTAAAGGCCGGTTGAAGTTTAGCACGCCCAAGCGTAGTATAGAAATTGCCATGTCTCGGTGTATCGTCAATGGTTTCTCTTTTTTTTTTTTTTCAATTCGCATTACTTATTTATTAATGCCATGTCTTAAAGTATTGAAATGATTGCTAGACTATGACGTCATTTTTGAAGTGGCCCAAGGGCGCGGTCAAATAAACGAGAAAGAAACCCGCAGTTAGGTACACAATATATGAGATAGTACTATCAAAGGCCGCCTTTGTTCTTTCGAAAAATTTTCGACCTACGATTCGTACAGAGTAATTCTGCCCCCTTCTCTTCCCGATAGAATTCCAGGATCGGCATTGTTGTGCCGAGCGCCCAGAAGGATGTGCCGATTTGCCTTGTCTCCACCCAGTTTCGTAGTCCAAAATAGGCCACTAATCGTCATTTGGTACTGGTATGGAAATCGCGATAATTCTGGATTTCTAAAATACTGGATGAAAACTATTTAACATGCAATTACCGCTTTATAAGCAGTTTACCTAATAATGCCAAGCAATTTGGAAGTGTATCCGACTAGTAATGGTATACAGGTTGCGACACCCAGACGGACGGGGGCGGGAGAATCGGCATCTTGATCAGGGGAGCGCAAATAGGAAGCGATTATTCGGTCTCGACCTTATGATTCACAGTTGCTCTCCGAAATGCTTTAAAGAGCAAAGAAGCCAATCAAATACTGAAACAACTGAAGGACCAATATATACTAGAAGTTCGATGCTCTTTGGATCGCATATCTTCTTTGTCATCCCTCTCAATCGTGATATATTTTGCCTCCACTGCAGTGGCAGCATCTCATTTCAAGTTGAAGTTGAGGACTTGAAGCTCGAAATCATTTTTCGTCGAATATTTCAAATACCTACCAGTGCCCCTTCCTATCCCGAATACGAACACTGTCACAACCCAAAAAATGTCCGATAACTCACAACACGAAGGGGGGCGGAAACGCGTGTGCAAGGCATGTGATCGTTGTCGCCTGAAGAAGTCCAAGGTAAGCCTGAGATGATAAGATCCTTGCCGACCCATAATTTGAATATTGACGACCAAAGTGTGACGGCCACGACCCATGTTTGCGTTGCCAAGCAGATAATGCTGTCTGTACATTTGGACAGCGAAAAAAGGTCCATGAGAAATCCTATCCCAAAGGGTGAGTCAGGTATAGTCGCAATTGAGAGTAGAAGAGAAATTGTCAGCTAATTAATTACTAAACATACACAGATATGCAGAGATGTTAGAACAGCAACAGGCTTGGCTTGTAAATGGCCTCCAGGAACTCTATCACCGGGCTGTTCATGGACAGGGCTGGCCGGGAGAGCCTTTGGATCTTGAGCCCAATGGCTTTCCTCTTACCCACGATATGCTTGTGAGCCTCGGGGCTCTGGAGAGATAAGGCAATGATGAATTACAACAGGAGCCGCCAAACAGCTTCAGACAGGCCCCTTTAGGCACTCCATCTTTTCGATCATGTGTCGGCTCTGTCCAACAGACAATACCTCTCACGCCAACAACATCAAACGAAAGCCCCTCAGATATTAAAATTTATCATCCCGAGGACATGCTAAAAAATTCACATTTTGAGCCGCAAAGAGCAGGTATCTCTGAGCCATGGGGATGTCTGGATTCACAACAGTGGCATACAGAAGACTTCGGATTGTTTGATGATATGGAAATGATGATAGCAGCCAAGGACCCAAATTTGCTTTTTGATGATGCATCATTCTACGAAAACCTGAATCTATTCACAGACCAGAATGCCGCAGGCATTACTTTGATATAAGTGCTGGATATTAACCGGTTTTGTGAGATTCCAAGCCACCGGCAATTTTACGATGTTATTATACTCTTGTACGACAGCTCAGGAATCTACTAGAATTTTTTTTATAACAATTTCGCCACGCTGAAGGCGATGTACGTACGCAATGTGCGAGAGTTTAAGTTTGGCCCTTGCCTCCCCACAATAGTTAGGGGGAAATGTAACATGTGGGAAGGTTGAGACGTTACCTTGATAGCGTTAAATATTCAACACTATTTGAATATTTCTTAAACCTCTCTGTATGAAAACGTTATGCAGAACAGTTTGAGATATGGCCTAGGCAATAGATTCTTCTAGAATATTTCTCAAGCCAGCACTATGATCGATTGACATAGCCGCGGAACCGAGGATACAAAATAGTAATCGCGACAACGTGCCGAGGTCTAAAGTATTTGTTTGAAACACTGCTCAAACGGGCGAGCGTGAGCGAGCAAGGGCCCATAATAAAGATACGTGATAAGCACGGCCCGCATCGGATATCTCTGAAGTAAATCCCGCACAATTCTGGCAATCACCGTATCTCATTCGACCCAATCGGGTAATATGCTGCGTCGATTTGGCTGACAGCTGGGTAACCACCGGGTAGATCGGGATCGACCAAGTGCCGCCGAGAGTTACCATGGGGCCGACTATTCGGCGCCGATTCCGTGCCGCTACTCCCACGTCCCTGAAAATCGGATCTGCCAATCGGCACGCAGACTAAAACCTCGGATCAACAAATGAGGCTCGCTATTGGCCAGAAACATACAACGAGATATTTTCATAATGAAAGTCTGCACAATTGAGTGAAATTCAATTGGCGAGTGGCTCTAATTCTGTTCATAAATCTATTGATAGCGAGTGGAAGCCATGGTACTCATGGCAGCCAGCCGGAATACTATTAATCCCCAATGGGTAGATTGCTTGCATAAGGTCTCGATGATCCATCATACCCACCTAGGCAATAGACAAGCGATAATACGTATGGTCTCTGTATTCTCTGATCTTCTCCACTATAGAGATGTTCTAGAAGGCGAATACGCAATCAGATTCCGGCAGCCGGCAAGATTTCAAATCATATAAATCGACGAAATCCTGATGGTAATGAATGATTTACTCAAAATATTTTCCAACCAGCTATTACTATACTGGAAAAGAATCCCGAAATGTCGTCCGAGCAAGATTCCCATCCACCCGGATGGGAAAACCACGACACCCTGGCTGTGCCTCAGATCAACCTCCACGAGGCTAGCAGCTCTGAGACTCTTCATACAACCGAGCCTTCTCCGAACCTTACTACTGATAAGCCGCAAGACGAGGAATATTGGAAGAGCCATGAGACTCTGACACTGCCTCAAACTCCCACTACCCCAAGCCCCGCAAAGAACAAGCAATGGCATATGACACACCGAGTCATTCGCAACGCCCAACGTGACGAAGCAGCTGGATTCAAACGTCGAGAGCTTGGAGTTACTTGGCAGAACCTATCCGTCGAGGTTCTAGCTGCTGAAGCTGCTGTCAAGGAGAACATGCTTTCTCAATTCAACGTTCCTCAACTCATCAAAGACTTCCGCCGGAAACCACCACTCAAATCGATCTTATCGGACAGCCATGGATGTGTTAAACCTGGTGAAATGCTTCTTGTACTTGGACGCCCCGGCTCAGGATGTACCACGCTTCTTAAGATGCTTGCCAACCGCCGCGAAGGATATCACACTATCAAAGGGGATGTGCGATTTGGAAATATGTCATCAAAAGAAGCACTCAACTACCACGGCCAAATTGTCATGAACACAGAGGAAGAACTCTTTTACCCCCGTTTGACTGTCGGCCAGACTATGGATTTTGCCACACGCTTGAAGGTGCCCTTTCATTTACCGGAGGGAGCCAAGAAAGAAGATTATAGTGCCGAGTCCATGGAGTTTCTTTTGGAATCGATGGGAATTTCCCATACCGCCGATACTAAAGTGGGCAACGAATTTGTCCGCGGAGTATCGGGTGGCGAAAGAAAGCGAGTTTCGATTATTGAGTGTTTGGCAACAAATGCCTCTGTGTACTCTTGGGACAATAGCACACGTGGTCTTGATGCCAGTACGGCCCTGGAGTGGGCAAAGGCTCTTCGTGCTATGACCGATGTGCTGGGTCTCTCTACGGTCGTCACTCTCTACCAAGCAGGGAACGCAATTTATAATTTGTTCGACAAGGTGCTCGTGTTGGACGAAGGAAAGCAGATATACTATGGACCTGCGGCAGGAGCAAAGCCATTCATGGAAGATCTGGGTCTAATGTATACCGATGGAGCAAATATTGGTAAGACTGTTCGGTCTTTGCTAAGGGACTCGGATTTATGCTAACATATTATTCAGGGGATTTTCTCACTGGTGTTACAGTCCCGACCGAGCGAAAAGTGAAGCCAGGCTGGGAAAATCGATTTCCTCGATCGGCGGATGCTATCCTGACCGAGTACAAGAATTCAGCGACTTATAAGAATGAGATCTCTGCATACGACTATCCCGACAGTGAGATTGCGGTTCAGCGCACAGAAGCATTTAAAGAGTCTGTCACTTGGGAAAAATCCAATCATCTACCTAAAGGCAGCAAACTCACCACCAGCTTTTGGGCTCAACTCACCCATTGCACTCGACGACAATACCAGATTCTGTGGGGTGAAAAGTCAACTTTCCTCATCAAGCAGATTCTGTCGTGCGTCATGGCATTGATCGCCGGATCATGCTTTTACAATTCTCCGGAAACTTCGGCTGGTCTCTTCACCAAAGGAGGCGCTATCTTTTTCTCGCTTTTATATAACTGCATCGTCGCCATGTCTGAAGTCACCGAGTCCTTCAAAGGTCGACCGATTCTCATCAAGCACAAGGGGTTCGCGATGCATCATCCGGCTGCATTTTGCTTGGCCCAAATTACCGCCGACGTTCCGGTGCTGTTGTTTCAGTGCACGATTTTCTCGGTGGTTATTTATTGGATGGTTGGGCTGAAGCACACTGCGGCTGCATTTTTTACTTTCTGGGCTATCCTCTTCACCACAACCCTTGTAAGCATTGACACTTCCTCTCCGATATCCGTTTGTATGAGTTCAGAAGCTAATGATAAATACTTAGTGTATTACTGCCTTGTTCAGATGCATCGGTGCCGCATTTAGTACCTTTGAGGCTGCTTCGAAGATCTCCGGCACAGCAGTCAAAGGTATCGTCATGTATGCCGGTTACATGATTCCAAAGCCCAAGATCAAGAACTGGTTTGTCGAACTGTACTATACCAATCCGTTTGCCTATGCATTCCAAGCCGCGATGTCGAACGAATTCCACGACCGCCATATTGATTGCGTTGGTCAAAATCTGATCCCAAGTGGCCCTGGTTACGAGGATATCGGATCGGGGAACAGGGCTTGCACAGGTGTGAACGGTGCCACTCAAGGCGCTGATTTTGTGACTGGCGACCAATATCTCGGGTCCCTCCATTATCATGCCTCGCAGATGTGGCGGAATTTTGGTGTTCTCTGGGGTTGGTGGGGGTTCTTCGCCGTTCTGACTGTCTTGTTTACTTGCTTCTGGAAGGGAGGTGCCAGTTCTGGATCTTCTCTTCTCATCCCCCGCGAGAGTTTGAAAAAGCACCAGACACATAGCGACGAGGAGGCACAAGGCACTGAAAAAACGACCCCCCGCACAACCACCGACGAGCCCGTCGAAGTCGATGATGAGAATCTGGTTCGAAACACGTCGATCTTCACCTGGAGAAATCTCACCTATACCGTCAAAACACCCACTGGTGACCGTGTCCTGCTTGACAATATCAATGGTTGGGTGAAGCCAGGCATGCTCGGCGCTCTTATGGGCTCTTCTGGCGCAGGCAAAACAACTCTTCTCGACGTGCTTGCCCAACGCAAGACAGAGGGCACAATCAAGGGCTCGATTCTTGTCGACGGAAGACCTTTACCGGTGTCATTTCAGCGAATGGCAGGATATTGCGAGCAGTTGGACGTCCACGAACCATATGCGACCGTCAGAGAGGCCTTGCAATTTTCCGCCCTGTTGCGCCAATCCCGCGACACCCCGAAGGAAGAAAAACTTCGATATGTGGAAACTATTATTGATCTCCTTGAACTCCATGATCTTGCCGATACGCTAATCGGTAGCATTGGCAATGGACTGAGTGTCGAACAAAGAAAGCGTGTTACTATTGGAGTGGAATTAGTCTCAAAGCCCAGCATTCTGATCTTTTTAGACGAGCCTACCTCCGGATTAGATGGTCAATCGGCTTACAATACAGTTCGCTTCCTCAGAAAGCTCGCCGATGTTGGCCAAGCTGTCCTTGTTACCATCCACCAACCTTCGGCACAACTCTTCGCCCAGTTCGACACGCTGCTTCTCCTTGCGCGCGGCGGGAAAACGGTCTACTTCGGAGATATTGGTGATAACGCGGCCACTATCAAACATTATTTTGGCCAGTATGGTGCCGAGTGTCCTAAAGAAGCCAATCCAGCTGAGTTCATGATCGACGTGGTTACAGGTGGCATTGAAGCCGTCAAGGACAAGGACTGGCATCAGATCTGGCTTGAATCTCCGGAGCAAAACGCCATGACCACAGAGCTGGATACAATGGTCGATGACGCCGCGTGCAAAGCACCTGGAACAGTATCCGATGGCTACGAATTCTCCATGCCTTTATGGGAACAAGTCAAAATTGTCACCGGTCGCATGAACGTCGCACTCTTCCGAAACACGAACTATGTGAACAATAAATTCTCCCTGCACATTATTTCCGCGCTCTTGAACGGTTTCTCATTCTGGCGACCCGGCCCCAGTGTGACAGCCCTGAATTTGAAAATGTTCACTATCTTCAATTTCGTCTTCGTCGCGCCCGGTGTGATTAACCAGCTTCAGCCACTCTTCATTCAACGTCGTGATATATACGATGCCCGCGAAAAGAAATCGAAGATGTACTCCTGGGTTGCATTCGTGACGGGTCTGATTGTCTCGGAATTTCCCTATCTCTGCATCTGCGCCGTTCTCTACTTCGCCTGCTGGTATTATCCAGTCTGGAGACTTCCCCACGACTCCGACCGATCCGGCGCGACATTTTTCATGATGCTAATCTACGAGTTCATCTACACCGGCATCGGGCAATTCGTCGCAGCTTATGCACCGAACCCGACATTCGCGGCCCTCGTCAACCCCCTCATCATCAGTATCCTGGTTCTATTCTGCGGAGTCTTCGTCCCATACACCCAGCTCAATGTCTTCTGGAAGTACTGGATGTATTACCTCAACCCATTTAACTATGTCGTCTCCGGAATGTTGACCTTTGGCCTCTGGGGCGCGAAGGTTACCTGCAACGAAGAGGAATTCGCCGTGTTCGATCCGACGAATGGGACTTGTGCCGAGTATCTGTCCGATTACATTGCGGGTGATGGCTGGAGGATCAACCTGATAAATCCGAATGCCACTGCCGCGTGCAAGGTGTGCGAGTATACGAATGGGAGCGATTTCCTGTCTACCTTGAACATCAATCACTATTACTATGGATGGAGAGATGTCGGAATTTCGGTGATTTTTGCCATCAGCGGGTATGCCCTTGTCTTCGGGCTTATGAAGTTGAGGACAAAGGCCTCTAAGAAGGCAGAGTAAGGTGGGAGTGCATTGGATTGGTAATAGGAAAAGTACCAGCAAGCGTCGGAGTGTTTCAAAGCGATAAAGCTAGTATTGCTAGCATATGCTGAACTTGAAGGACAGCCTGAGGGAGAGATGTATACGTTTTGACATAATTGGAATTTGCATATAGAGTACTAGGGGTTAAATTCTTTTAAGATTCTTTCATTTGTCCCCCAAAAATATTATCAGCAAGAAAACTCAATTCCAATTTCAGCTTGAACGCTAGTTACTGGTAGCTGCCTAGCAATTCTGGTTTCCCAGCCTTCTCGCTGAAGCCGCCATTCCTGCTCCTGTTAGCTTGGTTTTTTTCGGCCAGTGTCAACATCCTCTCGTATACGCCGAATGTGGCTGTTCGCGGCCTTCTTCGCAACTCTGTATTGCTAGGTGGGTTATGATGAGTCCCCAATGGTCCACCCCACAAGGTATACACTGGTGAAGCTGATCAGACAGCTCTCCTCCCCGCCTTCCCAATCTATTAACCCCCCTCTCTCTCTCTCCGCATTCTCAAGCTCACTTCTTAGCTCTGAGCACTGGGCTGAAAGGCGACTGATCTCTCTCTTCGGCAATAGCGTGCCCGGCTTGGTCAATGAATTGGCTGTCAGGTATATTGATATCGTACCATGGAATTATTATCCTATGAAATTCTGGCTGAAGTCTGCAAGCTCCTGGGAACAATTAATCTAGTTTGCCCTTGTATGCTGCTTCTTGCAGGGGTCAAAGGTCAGAGAGTATGGAGAGCTAATCTTCTACAGCTTCTAATTTCAGAGGTACCAGCCAAATCATCTCGATTAATTTCCTACAACCAGTAAGCTAATAACAATACCAGTGTTTTGGATAATTCTAAACAGTCATGGAGTTCTCCTGAGTGGTTGTCTCCGTATCGTAATTTTTCTGAGGCGTAAGGAAAGAATTCGAAAAAAGGTTTTCAGCCGCAATGATTGTCGACATTCTAATCTCCTTGGGCAACAGGAAGCCTCCCTTGAATGTAGGCCAGTCCTCGTCCGAATGAATTTGAATGTCTTCACTTCTTCTGAGGGGGCCCTGGAAGTTTTGAAACAGAAGAGCAGACGCCGTTTCGTGGTGGGTCTCGCCTAGGCATAAGATGCTACCCGAGGCCTTCTTAACCTCATCAGTGTCACGGATTGTCCGCCACAGCAGCACAGTGCTTATTCCTCGTGCCTTTTCCTCCCAGGTGTAGTGTGTGCCGTGTATGATAGATTTTTGCGCCTGTGTGGTCACTCCATACCCTTTATGAATACTGTGTCTGTTTGTCGCAACGTTGAGACTGTGGACGAACACTGGTTTGCCCTGAAGGGCATCTTCATACAGCCCCCAAACAGTTACACGGGGGATATTACGAGGGTTGGTGAGCTGGAGAAGATTGGGCCCGGTGATCAGACTCAGATCGTGTTGAAAACCGTGAGGGTATGGGATTAAGTGGTGGCGTGAACAACGATCGTAGGTGAGAGTGATGGCACCGATCTGATAATTGATATAAGATTAGTGCTATTCTTTTGTTGTCATGATTTTGTCAGCGACTATTGGTACATACCTGTGTTTTTGTTCCGCTTAGCCATACAGCCTTCCCGATTGGCGAGTTTGAGTGATCATATGTAAATGCCATACCTTCATACTGGGCATCCTTTGGTGGTGATCTTAATTTCTGGAGATAATTTTTCGCGACCAGAATCTGTTCCGTAATAGCCCTTCTGAAACTCGACATCTGAGGATTCGCTATCCGCACAAATGCATGCGTCACTGTGGTGATTGCTTCCAATCCACCTGGAAGTCGTAATCTCAAGCCCAGTGCCGCCTGACTGTCAATAGAACCTGGCGCGTCAGTCACAGGTTGGCCGGCTTTGATGATAGTAGTGCTGGTAGCGGTACTATAGCACTTCATAAGGATATATCCAACCCGTAGATTGCTTATCTCATCAGGTGCACCGTGATCCCAACACTTCTGCAGTGTTTTTTTGTCCGGAAACAAGATCAAGATCCATCCAATAATAAGAACCTGAGCCCCTACGGACCCGGGAAAGGCTAGACGAATACATTCGATGGTTTCTACCGAAAGAAAGCTCCGAGGATTGATATTTGGAACAAAAACATCGCGGGATGGCACAAATTGGTAGTCCACAGGCTTGGTCAAAAGGCTCGGCTTGACGTGAATCTCTCTGCCGGCCGCGTGCGTGCTGACAATGAATTTTGCGATCTGAGGAGTGATTAGCCAGACAGGCCGATCCAGAGGGGCACCCTCGATGACTGCAACATGGGGGCAGTCCTTCAATGAAGGATGTACTGAGCGAACGAGGAGCTCTTCGTCCGAGTTCTCTATTTGGGTCATCAGTGACACCTTGGCCTTAAGACCAGCTGTATCGGGGTAAGCTGCCTTGTTGACCGTCCGAATTGTCGGAAAGGTCGCGGGGGACATTTCAAACGGCCCGCTGGCAGACGGACATGTGGTTTCCTGGGGATCTCGAACGGAAGGGGTCAGGTCTGGACAGCTGGCAGTGCTACCTTCTGGTGGGAATGTTTCGGGAATGAGAGGCGGTCGGGTCTCGAACGAATGTGTCTGTCAGATAGGTCAGATGATCATAATTTCTAGAGTGATTTGGAATGGTGGTACCATGATGAGTATGTCCGAGCAACTTTGGCGGTGGCAAGTTCCGCAAAGCTTTTGGTATATGATCCTGGAATATATGGTGCCGCCAGCTGCTGGTGGCAAACGAGGCAGAGAGATAATGCTTGGCAATGGTAATGAATCCTTCGGGAAACTATGAGGCTGAGGCAAGATGTGGGGGTGGATCAGGACGGTAACAAGGTTCACACCCGGACGCACGAATAGGAAGAAGAAAACCTTATGTGGGACAGGGATCGGCAGACAGAAGTACGAAAAGTGGGACGAAGCAAAGTAAGTAGTAGTGGATTGGCTAACAGACTAAGATTGTGGGTCGAGGAGGTTGGACATGAGCTTTCTCTTGTGAAGCGAGTCACGTGCCCCGGAGCCCTTCACCTCGGGATTATGTATATCCACTTCCGGTGCCCTACGGCGGGAGAGTGAGGACGCGAGGTTCCATGTACTCCCGATGTAGAGTAGATCGGACTGTACACAGAGCAATCACTGAGCAATATGCTCAGGCCTTACTAACAGACCGCGTGACCTGCTCTGAGCTGCTCAGTGAGTCTGATTCTGAGCGCCCTCATCAAAGCGGCGGCATCCAGAATAGGAAAGCCCTACATTGCATGGGAAATATGTTACGTATAGCTGCCTAGGTATGGCGCAGAGTCCACCATGACGCATGCAGTATGAAGATGCGTGCAAGTAGTATGCTCAGCCCACGTAAGTACTGCTCACAGGTACGCGTGTAGCATTTGACCTTGAGCCCTGAAGGCCGGCTTAAGTGTGTGCGTTCTGTCTGGGATCGCAGAGGAGACACTCGAAGGAGGGTGCGCTTCAAGTTGATGACGTGCGAGTAGCCTCCACTATTTTCGACGCCAGCCAACGTCCTCGGACGGCCGTAGTATCTCCGATGAACTCATATCGGACTAGAATTTTGATGATAGAACAGGGTTGAAGAAATGCAGGCCGGTCCGGATATCTTGAAATATACCTCTCTTGGCACGCCTGGCCCGATTATTCCAAAGTTGGTATTTGATCCGGATCTTTTAGCTTCCCATCGATTTGATACCGGCGAGACTATTACCATTCGGCCGCAATGAAAGAAGTACGGTACTGGGAGTGAGCCAACGGCCATACCGAGTGGTATTCAATCCGAGGGGCAAAATTCCAACGGGGGCAGGGTTGTTGTGAATACCGAGATAGATTCTTATCTTCAAGAGAAACGCTGAACCATCTGGTCCGCTAGATTTGGGCTTTGTGTTCTTTCCCCTGCTAAAAATACGACCTCAACGCTGGGAGTTTTGAAAAAAAAAGATGTCAATCAAACTATCCGAATTTAGTGTCTAAAGAATCACGAATAGGCACTGGCATAAAATATTTATGACAGTTGGATTGTTAAGCTGTAGTTTTGTGGAATACCGAATTGAACAGGACCAAGGCCATTTATCTCTCCCTCTCCCTCTCCCTCTCCCTCTCCCTCTCCCTCTCCCTCTCCCTCTCCCTCTCCCTCTCCCTCTCCCTCTCCCTCTTCTTCTTCCACCCTCCTAATCTATTCTTCGCTCCTTGTTCGTACTCGGACGGCTTATTCCTTTTTTTTTTTTTTTTTTTTTTCTTCATCCTCTCTATATTTCACCCTAACAATCGGGTTACGACGCGAAGTGATGGCCACAAATGGCGAGGTACCTGAGTCCCTCTGAACCATGGGTATGCTGTCCGCCTACTAACCCATTTTTGACCGCGAGGTTCGATCCTGCCATATCATACCTACCGTTTCCGACCGCCGCCAACCACCGACTTCCAACTTCCAGCTCTCTACCGATTCATCAAATCTCCATCCTCTACCATTTTCATCAACTTGCGAACAACAACTCAACCGGATTCCGAGAAGTTAGGCGCCATGGCGAAAACAAACCCCAAATCGAAGCATACACAGAAGAAATCGCCTCGTAACTTCGAGGAACTGGTTGACCATTTGAAACACACCATCGGTAATTTCATGAAATCTCAAAGAGGTCCGGAGGACTTAGAGAAGCTTAGGGAAGCCTGTCACACAGCCACCGAATTTGCCGCCAATCCCCCCCATTCCAACCATCAGCGTGGGTGATGCATCAGGGGGGGTTACTTGAAGGCGTCGACGAGGGCTTTGGACTCCGAGGTGACCCAGGATGGAGAGATTGGATGGACCCCGATTATTTTGAGCCACTGATTGATTCTAATGGTGAGTCGTGGTTTTTTTTGATTTTCTTTCTCGCTGGAACCTAGGACTCTCCGACCCGCTAATTTATTACGCAGGCACGGTTCTAAAGCAAGCAAAGGATATCTTCCAACAGCAATTCAACAAGATCAACGAGGCATCCTTTCATGTTCGCTTGGACACGTTGCTCTTGGGAGTAATCACGGCGGTCAAAGACATGGAGATTCCAGGCAGCAGGTCACTTCGAGTGTCAACCGAGCAGCCCATGTCCTTCCAACCATTCCGATATATGGATGAGGACTATCGGCTCCAGGGCATAGCTGACTACGCCCTATGGTACGGTCGGAAAAGGGATATCGACACCAACCTGGTTGTGTTAGAGGCGAAAGCAAACTCCGATAGTGCGGGAATACCTCAGCTGTTGCTCTATATGGGTAAGTGAAAACGGTCTTCAATTCCCTCTTTCAATGTTTATGGGAATATCTGGCTGACTGATTATGGGTTTCCCGTCTGCAGCCATGGTGCACAAAAAACGCCGCAGTATGGGGAAGAACAACTGCACTGTGTACGGAATCGTCGCTTGTCCCGATGACTTTGACTTCATTCAAATTGACGATGAGGGTGTGGTATGGCCAACCCTTTCCCTTTGCCGGTATGCCAGATCTGACTTCATTCTAGTACTCGGTTTGCAGAATCCAATGTTGGAAACAAGATTTCGGGCCTTGCATCCCTCTCCTGACCTCCATCATTGCGAAGGCCGCGACTCTGTCCCCATCAAATAGTGAGGAGTTGGACCCGGTTGTCGATGAAATGGAGATTGAACAAATTTAACCTGACTTCTTTTCCCTTCCGGGTACTCCTTCGCTATTGTTACCTTCTCCCATTCGCTTGTTGATAATCGCTTGGGCCCTGGCTTTGCTGCTACTCTCTTTGCTTTCGTCATTTTCCTTTATGGCCTTGGAATTATTGCTGTGCTTCTGGCGTCGCTTTCGTCTTGACACGAAGAGTCAACTCTACGTACCATTAATATGTATTTTATCCTTCATGAGAACTAACTGACGGTCCTCGACCAAGTTGCTCAATTTATACCATTCAGAACAATCACAACATCTTGACGCAGGACATCCTTTGGTACAATAATAATAATTTTGTAGGGTCTAGCCGTTTTGTGTGAGACTAAATTCGAGCGCACCATATAAGACCCAATCAGGGTCACCACAGCAAGCGGCAGACGGAAGTTTCGTTGCGCAGGTTTTCATGAATTCTTTTTTCTTGCCAGTGTTCTTCATCTCGTGTTTTTATTTGACTGACTTAATGCGGCAAGCTTTATTAGGACTTTCGCAACTTGGCTCGGCGCTCCATAACTAGTGTGAATCGACCTAGTGTTTCTAGTACAGGGCCGGCGCGGCGGCCATTGGGTGTCTCGAAACTACTAGGGCTCTGCCACTGTCTCAGTGAAGCCGTTCTAGCTATAAGAATTACTTGATCCTAGCAATGAAGGGTACTGATTATATAACTGGTTGTAATTTTTGATATCGAACCTTGGAAGGACTCAAAGTGGGATTCCTCGCCATTTGTTTCAATGCCCTCTGTATCCCACAGATTGACGGAATAAATCGGCGTCATGCCGGTAAGGTGAATCAGGTGTGGAGGTGGGTATCCAAATATGCTAGAGAGTACGGATTAGAATGGGAGCGATGGTACCCAAGAGAACATTAGCAAGGGCCTGACCATTAAAGCGGTTATTAAACGATCCGGCCGACTTGGTATTGAAAATGGCGTCAAAAAACTGTCGGTGCGTGCCGATCTGTTGATAAAAAGAGCATTGATAAGTGGATGAAACAATCGGCTTGTGACATTGAATGGAAAATAACGGGAGAGGTTGCTGGAGAAAGTGCTGATGTGATTATCAAATGATTTTTGCGCGGACGGGGAGATGCAAAGGTAGTGGAGGAGACCGAATGGTATTCAGCCAGAATGAACAAGGCGATTTGGCTTTGAAGTCGTACGATGAGTGAGCATCCCCCCTGGACTGATAGACCATGTTCAAGGTCATCAATTCATTCGCTGAGTTCCATGCTGCCCTTTCAAGATGGCATTTCTTCGTGCATTGAGCTCGGCGATCACGCAATGTTCCACACCTTCATAGTCAACCACGATACACTCGTTAAGAAGACCACCACCCGTCATACAACTGATGTAATTGGAATTGGCTATTCTCCCCGAGATCTGCATCTGAGCGGCTTCGATGTTCTGGACCGAACAACCGAGAAGCCCCTCCACATAGCTTGCCTCGTAATTTCGGTGCCCGTAGAATATGGCTTCTCGGATTACAGATAGACGGTCGAGATAACTGAGGAAGTCGGATTTAAGGCCATCTATGTCTCGGGCTCCTTCCCATGGCATGTCCTTGATTCTGTTCGTCCAACCATCGTGTTGGGGGGGCGGGAGGGGGAGTCGGAGAGTATCACTTGGAATCGGTGTGGGGAGAGGGTCGTCGTCTCCGTGTTGGGAGTAGGAATGTCTTGCCCCACGGTTTTGGAAGAAGAAGTCAATCTCCGTATGTACAATGGGGCAGTGAGCGGAATAGATGGTACTTACCCTGTCATTTCGGAGGCAATTCAAGGAAATTTGTGGTGTCAAAGTGCTTTGCCTCCTTATAAGGCTGCCGACAATTGCGGATACTCTTGGTCAGTCAAATCTATCAGGAAAGGAAGAGTGTACGAAATACGGCAATCAAAATAATACCATAACAAAATCCAGGGGCCATGAGAAGTGGTGAATGAATAGGATGTGAATGGCAGATATCTAAGACGGAGCACGGCAACGAGGCAGCAACGGGAAGGCGATATGTCGTGCCTGAGGCATCAAGGGCTCAATAGAATATTTCATTGCTTTAACATTGTGATTCTCATGGATAGTCATGTTACGAATCTTACTCTCCCTCCATTTATTATTCTGCTAGTAATTTGATCACTCCCGCTTACCACATCTCCTACATTCTTCCATACCGTGTTAAGTACCTTGTTCTCGAACGGCCCCAATCTTTTTCAGAATGATTTGGAATTTCTATTCTGACCAGAACACCAATTCCCTTGTACCATAAGTAAGATGTAACTTGATATTGATATTTGGTCTGTAATTCTCACCAATCAGGCCTGATCAGGTCTGCTCAGTGATTGCTCAGTGACTAATCAAGGCCGCTCAGTGGGGAATTGGCAAATCCGCCTGTGTGACGTAAATCTCTGTCCTAAATAGACTTAGTTTCAATCATGGATCCTCTATATGGTGCTCCACCTCTACTACGCTCTACAAGTATCCCAGCACATATGTTGATCATCTATCTCCATCTCAAAGATTTTGATCAGTGGTCTCTTTCCTCCGTACTTCTTTTGCTTTTGGACTATCCTTTAGAATAGCCATCATGTGCTCTTCCAACATGGGTCATCAAGCAGCGCGTGCACAAGAGGAAGGCACGACCGAGATGGAAACTCGTTCCTCCTTCGCACCCCATCAAACTTCTCAGACTTCTCACCCATCCAACTCTTCACCTCCCACCTCCCATCCCACTATGTTCTCTGGCAACGCCGATTCATCTCAGGCCAATTCTCGATCCCACCGTGAGGCCCAAAGCTCTGAGTCCGGCAGCTCCTCAAAATCTGCAACGTCTATATGGAGCTCAAAAGCAACTTCACCAAAAACATCCACGGCCCAATCTCCCGCTTCATCTCTTCTATCCTCCAAACCCGAGAGTATTGACCTTGGGGTCGATACCATAACCCTCCTGACCGCCCATATCCTCGACCGACCCTCCTCTCTCGACCAGCTTTGTAATTATCTCGACGTACTTAAAAAAGAGCTCTTGTCAGAGGACCCTCCCAGTTCGCAATACCTTCTGGTGCGACGAATCCCGGACGATCTTTTTTTGGCGCTTGTTGAAGACCCTGAAGTTCCAAAAGGGGTGCGCGTTACAATTCTCCACCACGAGCATGAGATCTTATACAAGATCATACCGTACCACTACCATGAGAAAATCAGCCGTCAGTTTGATACCTGGATTAACGATGCTCTTGGTAAAATGGGGTTGAGCTTCCTCAACTATGATTTTTGGCTTGGGGGGGGCTGGACGGTCGACTGGTCGCGTGTGCAGCAAGGAGGCAGACACAGCGTTTTTCCCTGGAAGGGAACCGGCCGCCGGGGCACCCATACCATGGCCCTCTCTTGTGCTAGAGGTCGGCCTATCCGAGTCCGTCCCTCAGCTACGGACGGATGCCCGCTGGTGGTACTCCAACTCGGATCACCAAACCCAGCTTGTGGTCCTTATCTCCGCCAATCCTAACTCTCACGATGCAGACATCGAGATTTGGACCCAAGTCGTCAACCGAAGAGTTGGGGCTACCACCAGGGGCCAGGATACTCACGTCCTGAATTGTACTAAGTCGGCCAGGCTCAGGAATGGAGTAGTGTCTGGTAATACACTGGAAATCGATTTCCAGACTATGATGGGGCGGCCGCCACAGAACCCGCAAGAAACGGATTTACAGCTCAGTCCGTTTTGGATACAGAGGATCTGTCAGTAGCATGTCATTTGGCATTATCGGACCGTTGTGCTATCGCTCCAACCTGATTCGAAATCGTATACCCTATTAACAGTGATTTCGAAACATTTTATAAGTTTACCTTGCTATCAATACTTCCGATTTACCAGAAGGCCAGAATGATTTACTTCGAGTCGAAGTGATGCCCAGGTGGATAGGTATATTTTTCGGGTTCCAAGTTGAAGCTCATTGGCACTAAAAAAAGTCATAAATATCTAGTACAACATTAGAAGCCAGGATATTATATTGCCTTGGATAATTTTTCTCAATTTCCGTCTATCACTTTGCATCACCTCATCTCTCCTGTGTGTGATGTACCTCTTGGAGGACGCAGAGGACTCGGATGCGGGTATAGTTGAGTTAGCTTGCAATGTAGATTTCCTTCCCTTCGTTACATGGTATTGCCATCTCTGGAAGCCCCCCCAAGCCCGGTCAAATTCTTGCCAGCCCCCCAGGCGGTGCGTCCCACATGGCCAACTCTCGCACCACCGTATCAAAGTATCCATCACTGGGCATATTTCCCTGGCAGACATTGCCTCCGACAGCAATGTTGAGGAGGATTCTGAACTCACTCATCTTCCTGGTTCCGGGTGGCTTCTCGGCCCTCATGATAGGCATCCCATCAATCAACCAGACCAAGCGCCCCCTGCCGGTTGATTCGTCCTCGTCCCAGATAAAATCGTACTTCACTCCGACCGGCGAGGTAATATTGGGGATGGGGGTTTCGAGAACGCGATGCTTGTTCCAGTCGTCGCCGTTGAAGTGTCCCCAGTGCAGACAAGTGTGGTTGACAGCATCGCCGTTCCAAGCTTCCATTATGTCGATTTCGCCATCCTCGGGCCACTTGAAGGGGTCTTTAGGCAGCAGCCAAAAGGCGGGCCAGATACCTCGGGCAACCGGGGCAATAATTCTGGCCGAGAGACAGCCTCGCGGTCGGCCGAGGGTCTGATGGCTCGTCAGTCGGGCGCTGGTAAACTTCTGTGCGGGATCGGGATGCCCATGGTTGATCAATGCTCGCACGATCACCGCATCGCCCTGGGTTGAGTGGAATGAGTTGTGCGGGCTATCGACGTAATTCTGCGCCTCGTTGTTGCCCCATCCATGTTGACCTTGTTCATGACCAAAGTTGGCGGACACTGGTACTTGAGGGTCCAAATTGGGTCGCCAGTAGATCTGGGGTTGCCAGGACTGTCCCTGATAAGGTTGTTGTGGCTTGCTTGAGGTTGGAATAGGCGGTGGGGGAGGATTGTTGTACGATGGCACCGGCTGAGGGTTTTGATTGGTTATTTCGCCCCAAGTCTTATCTGCCTTGTCTATAATGCCCTGAAGCGCCTGTCTGAATGGCATGTTGAGTAGAATAGTCGAATGGATGTATGGATGTTAAGGTTCAAGTTCTTGTTATGGTCTAGCCAGCCCAGAGATCGTTACGATAAAGTACCCGGCAGACCCACTTATATCGATCACATGATCAGTCGAACTGATCATTTGGTGTTTATTCAACTATTGGATACTATTAACCTCTGGCGATATGTAAATTTATCACTCAGTCCTAAGAATTGACTTGTATCTCATATAAAACTTGACCCGTTCTTCCACATAAGCCCTGGCATCAGTGGTAATCTAATCTGGCCATCAGCTTGGTTGTTTGCATTAATTTATGCCTCAGGCATCAATAATATGCAAACTACTCAAATCCGGGAGCGCAACAAAACTTTTGCTGGAGTTGATCACAAAATTTCAAGAGCTTCAAAATAACTCTCAATTATATATCGCATATATACTGTGCGAAAACTTGAACAGAGCTTTGGTCGCGAAATTGCACAGTGGATCTTCGACCTGTTCAATACTTCATTGCCAACACGGGCCTCTCTGCTCGCACCATATCCAAACATGGCAGAAGCGCCTGAACTCTCCAACGCAGAGCGCTTCAAAGCGACGCACCTCGCCGCACGTCATGGCAACTACCATCAATATTACTCCAAATTTCGGGCGCCCACCGTTCCAGACGAACGTCTTTCCATTCTTCCGTCAGATATCCTCCGCGACGCGCGAGTCATAGACCTCGGCTGTAACGCAGGAAAACTGACCCATGAAGCAATGGCGTACTGCGGCGCAGCCGCCTCAGTCGGCGTCGATATTGACCCGTGGCTGATCGATCAGGCGAAGGCGGCGTACCCAGATGGGCCGTGCACATTTGAGCACTTGGACTTTGTGAATGCGCCCGCGTACACGGGTACCGCGGTGGGCAAGTTCGATGTTGTCCTACTGCTTTCTGTGACCAAGTGGATACATCTGAACAACGGAGACTCCGGGATGTTGAAGTTATTCTCGCATATAAGGAGCATCTTGAATGAGGGGGGTTATCTCGTTGTTGAGCCGCAGCCTATGAGCAACTATGCGAGGGCTTCAAAGAGAAATAAAGAATTGAGAGAGATGTATAGAACGATCCAAATCAGGCCACCGTTTAACGATGAGTTGAAAGCCGAGGGGTTTGAGAGGATAATGGACGTTGAGAGAGACGAGGAGGGGTTTGCTAGGCCCGTTCATGTATGGAAAAAAAAGTAAAATAAAGAGATATATGGGAGATGGCCGAGAATGAGTCGGTCGATCTTTGAATCGACTTATATCGGGAAGCCATACTAGACTTTTTGGCTGGGTTGGTCGGTACATCGGTTGACTCAAGTGTTTGGACACCAGATTTTAGAGCGTTAAGAACTTGAAGCAATTGAACCTCCACAAAAATTTACTACTAGTGCCATGTGTTACAAAATACCAACTTGAAGTTCGTGACGGATTAATCCATGGATCCATGGATTTAAGCTTGGATAGTACTACTACCTAACTACTACTACTACTAGTATACGCTGCCGGTGGTAGGTGTTACTGGTAATATATATCTCGCACTAAGTACTACCTTCAAGTAGGAACTCGGACCTCTGAGTCAGGATTGGGGGGGGGTTATCACTTTTACCCCTGACTCGGAGAGTAAGGCCCCAAGACTACCCTTTTATCCCAGCAGAAAGACTTGATACAGCCCTTGTTAGATGAGTGTGTTACTATTTAGAAATTTGCCGATATTTTCCACCTTCACTAGTTACTTTTCCAGGTACTACATGATTCCATTCCGAATAGTATCTGGTACATACGACCATAGGGTGTGGAGAACAGGGCTTCCCGTCCGCTCAGCCGTACTTAAGCCACACGCCGGCAGGTTAGTAGTATGGTGGGTGACCACATGCGAATCCCTGCTGTTGTATGTTTTATTCTTCTAATTTTTTTTTAGTTTTCTTCGAAAAGGTACCACTACGGGATGCGTCAAACTAAGCTCGATGTTGTTGCTGACAGTCCGCTTCTCTCCCTGATCGAACCCGAGTTGAAATACAGGCATGGAACAAGTAACCTCCCCTTGTAACTAATTTTCGACACATCACTCTCCAACAAACTTTTTCCAGCCGCGTCTTGATATTCAGGACGCTAATTTTTCTTTTCAGTGACCTTGGCCCGTCTTCAGAGGTGTGAATAGTTCCAACACGCTGTTTATCTTGATTACCACCCTCCCGTCCGATAACCAACGGTGCGGCATCACTTTGGGAATGAAGCCCGCGATCCACTTTTTTTGAGAAGAGTGGCGATTATAAATCTTCAGGGCAGCTTATAAATTTGGAATCTTCATGCGCAAATTATGCGTATCGTAAATGTGCACAATTAAGATTATCGTATTGGGTTAAATAATTTTGTCGTTGCCCGAATCACTTCTTCCTGTCACCCCATCTGCACTATCTGCACTCTGAACACGCTTTACCGTCTCAACCTCGTCCCTTCTCAAACACAACATGACTTCTCCCGCACCGAGATTTGACTCTCCAGATGTCGACCCTAGTGCATTGGGCAAGCCCCTTCAGTTCACCTTCTCTGGCCGCTCAGCGCCGAATCGTTTCATGAAGGGTGCTATGAGCGAGCGTCTCGCATCATTTTCCTTGAATGATCTTGCTTCCCGTGGTATCCCATCACCTGCTTTGATCCAAGCGTACCAGGGCTGGGGCGAGAGCCAAGTGGGTATCAACCTCACTGGCAATGTTATGATTGATCCTGGTCACCTGGAAGCAGCCGGTAACCCAGTCATCCCGCGAGACGCAGAATTCTCTGGTGAGCGTTTTGAGCGTTTCCAGGAGCTCGCGGCTGCCGGGAAAGCGAACGGGATGCTCATCATTGCCCAGGTCGGGCACCCAGGTCGCCAAACTCCTCAACATCTGCAACCCAATCCTATCAGTGCAAGTGATGTGCAGGTGAAGGGTGAGCCTATGGGCATGAAATTTGCAAAGCCCCGTGCCGCGACTGAAGAAGACATTGCAAATATCATTGACGGCTTTGCCCATGCCGCTGAATACCTCGAGAAAGCTGGATTTGACGGCATACAACTCCATGGTGCACACGGCTATCTTCTTAGCCAGTTCTTGTCTCCAACCACTAACCTGCGCACCGATAAATACGGTGGTGACCTGAAGAACCGCATGAGATTGATCTTGGAAGTCAGAGACGAGATCACTAAGAGGGTCCGCAAGGACTTCGTGGTCGGCATCAAGATTAACAGTGTCGAGTTCCAAGAGAAGGGATTCCAGCCTGATGAAGCTAGGCTGCTCTGCGCAGCTCTTGAAGAACACTCTTTTGACTTTGTTGAACTATCCGGTGGTACCTACGAAATTTCTCCAATGTCTGAGCATAAGCGACCCTCCACGGTCGAGCGCGAAGCCGTAAGTTCTGCCCCTGCGATGGCTTCTTATTGTCTATGACCGCGGCCTTTTGTCGTCCGTTTACTAACACGGAATAGTTGTTCCTCGATTTCGCCAAGATCATTGTTCCTGGCTTGACAAAAACAAAGTCATATGTCACTGGCGGTCTCAGGACCGTCGGAGGAATGGTCAAGGCGCTAGAGACCGTGGACGGAGTTGGTCTTGGACGCCCTCTATGCCAGGAGCCGAACTTGTGCGCGCACATCCTGTCCGGTAAGGTCAAGGGAGCTCTCGTCCAAAAAATCAACATGTATGAATTCGGTGCTACAGCTGGTGCATCGGGTGTTCAGATTTTGCAGATGGGCAGCCACCTGCAACCAATTGACCTGTCTCAGGAAGCCAATGTGGCGATGCTCTTCGGCGCCTTGGGTCCATGGGCTGCTGCTAGACAAAAAGATCTGGAGCTTTATGCGTTCCCTGCTATTGCCGGTTACGATACGCCCTACTCTGCCTCTACCCTGCTATGAGGGATTATTTGTTAGAAACGCTCGAATAGTCTAGCCTGTGCACATAATGCCTTTTGGTCCAATCAAAATAACGTATAATACACTTCATAGGTTCGCATTTCAGTGTATAGTTTGCTAGAAATGGCTTTCACGAAATTGAATGTTTCCCCTTTGCAAGAACCTTGGAAGTGATTTCACTTTGGTCCCAAATGCATGCCGAGGTCCAACTGGCCTTTCTTTTAATACTGTGGAGCAAAATTGCCCGGGCCCACTTCTTTTTTTCTCGATGCCGAAATCCGACCCCAAATTGGAAATATTTCCGGTTGTATTTTTGTTACAGTCTGGAATGTGGGTCATGGTTCATCGACGCGGCGAATTGTATCAGCCCGATCCCGACTACCGTCTGAAGAAAATCAATTTGACAACCAGTAGTTTGTACTCACAAGCTATGAAAATTGAATAGCTGGACTGACTATGTAAATAAACCAACAAAGCCACCGGAAAAATCCAGCGGCTCCGAATATCTGTCGGGAGCCCTCAAAAGTGCTACAAATTATAGGAAGACGCATCAATCAGCCTCAGGGTCAGTTAAGATTGTAGTTTATGAAATGTGTTGCCAGTTTTATTCCTTAGGTAGTCTACATGGCAAGAATGATAATTACGTGCGACATCACATCAATTGTGAAATACCTTCGCCAGGTGTAGCTTTGATATCTACCAATAGAACCATGTTATAACTAAACAGTCCTCTTAACATAATCCACATGCTCAGTGGAGGGATGGAATTCTGCCTTCAGCTCTGGATCGTCTCCTCTGCCATCAAAACGAGAAGGAGTGAATTTTGCCCTCAGATTTTTTTGTTCAAATAGCTCATTCATATCTTCGAGTGACAACCCTAAACAAAATTTAGTATGGCGTTTAGATGTACAGAGGCTTATATACTTACCTTTCGTTTCTGGTACAAAGAACCATGCAAACACAACCATAGTGAAGCAGAAGGACCCGTATATGAAGTACGTCCCGAAACCATTGACACCCAAAGTTGCAAACATACTTGGCGTAGCCTTAGCCACCACAAAATTGAACAACCACTGACTAGCTGTAGCCATCCCCATTTGAAGAGGTCGGAGACGAGCGCCGGGTATTTCCTAACAAAAGATTTAGTGGTTGCTTTCATGAGCGAGAGGTTGCAGACATACCGAGCAGTATGTCCAAACAATAGGTCCCCAGCCAAATTGATAGACAGCTGCAAAAATGTAAATGGCAACCAATGCGACATATCCCGCCGAGGTGGGCCCCGAATCACCACTCGGCGGATCAAAGCGAATATAAAAGCCAATATAAAATAGCATGAGACCCTGCGCCATTAGTCAATATAGAGAACGCGCCTTTCAAGGAGGATAACTAACCTGAACGATACCAGTCCAAAGAAGACTCTTTCTTCGGCCCAGGGAATCAGTCACGAAGATTATGAAAATAAAACAAGCCACAAGTTTGACTATGCCATAAATTCCAGTTGCAAAAAGTCCCGCGGATGAATCCGATAATCCCATGCTGCTGAAAATATCAGGACTATAATACGTCATAGCATTGGTTCCTGTCAAGTTACTCCACATCATTAACGTGATGCAAAGAAATGTGCGTCGTCGATTAGCTCGAGTCGTGAAAGCTTCCTTAACAAGCGAAAGTCCAGAGCCTTGCGCTCCCAACGATCGCTCTTCTTCTAGCTGCAGAAGGATGCCCTCCATTTCATCTCGTACGTAGGGATGGTCTGCGGATAGACCACGCAATTTGGATAAAACAGCCAGAGCTTTCTCTGGTGATTTCAGGGCCAGGAATCGAGGAGACTCGTTTGCGAGAGTCATACCAAAGAAGAGGATAACGGCCGGAAGTGCTTGTAATGAAAGAGGAATAATGTACTGAGCAGGTCCGTCGATATGGAGGATACAGCCATAGTTGATCCAAAAGGCAAGCTAGGCATACATTAGCGACTGTAGCTAGATTTTGATCGCAGGAAAGATCACACATACAGTGAGACCAGTGACAATGCTCAGTTGATAGAATCCAGTAAGCAGTCCTCGAATCCCCCCTGGGAGCATTCTCTGAAACATAGAGTGGGTTGACACTTGATGCAATCCCAATCGCAATTCCCGCAATAAATCTGCCAACATACAGAGATGCAATGTATCCAGAAGCCCCGGCTTGTAATGCGACTCCAATGAACACGAAAATCGAGGCTATAATCAGCGACATGCGGCGACCAATGCGGTTAGCAAGCCACATTGAGAGGAAACATCCCGCAAAGGCTCCCGCTTGAATGACAGAGACTATATTCGAAGAAAGGTTGGCTCGTTCTGTCGGAGACTTTTTGTTTAGACCGTATTTTCTGATGAATTCTTAGTCGAGTTGGTGGCAGCTCGGTTAATTTGTTAATTTGAAATCTCACTCTTTAAAAGGCTCCATGGTCAGAACACCCCCAATAACGCCCATATCCATCCCAAATAACAAGGCACCGCCACATGCCTATATGGGTTAGCTATAATTATTATTCGCAATATTTAGGAGGCTTACGAACCACTAAGCTAACGAGTATGGTCCGGAGGTTGTAAATCTCCGGGGGGGTCTTTGTCAATGGCTTCATTGCGAATAAATTTGCGAAGTAGCATGGTCACGATGTAGCCTCAAAGACTTGACTTGGAAGATCATACTGCGATGGATAATCATCGCGTTTATAATAACTTGCCTTCCTTGGTATTCCCCAACCCCTTCATTCTCTCAAATCTAATCCGAGCTCTTTTTAGATTCCCATTGGCCAGACGGCAACAGACGGTCCATGATATCGACCCCGCAAGCCCATTATTTGCCTCACTCAGCGCCGAGAGCACTTTTGATTCCAATTTCTGGGGTCAGTTTGCGGGGTATAACTCTGAGCCACACGAACCTGGAGAAGTGGGCCGCCAGGTCGGCCATTCCAGCCATGGAAAAATCGACGGCTATAGACGGAGAAATCCCATGCATGTTGCCGAAGATGAATATATCAGCACGTCAAAATAGATTCCGGAGCAAATGGAATTCACTTTTACGTTGGGAGAGATTTTGAATAAATCCTAGGCATGTGAGGCCGTCTCAGTTATCAAATCCCAATTTTCATGGGTATCCAGATGATCACACAGGTATCAATGCCTTCCGCAGCATCAGTTACGGTTGACTTCCTATTATTCTAGTCACGCCTAGACTTTACTGATCGCCATTCAATCAGCAAACTCCCTATCATAGTTGTGCACGCCAACCCAACCACTAGATACCATGTTTGAATGAGACTTTTATCTATCGCGACCAGGACATCTCGCGACTTTTCCAATGGCACACTCGTGACAATATGATTAAGACTTGACTTTCCAAGATCTGCCTCATCTATTCCCGGCATTAGAACATTGAGATTGGTCGAGAGCTGATTGACAAAAAGAACTTGTGCAACGGCGACCGCGACGGTGGGGCCAAATGATTGCGCGAATAGCATGATAGAAGTGCCAAGTGGGACATCCTCTATGGCTAACACTGTTTGCACTGCATTTTGGGGCCCTGAAAAGCCGATTCCATAAGCAAGGCCAGAAAATCCGGTATAGATGATCAGTTGCGCAAAACTGGTATTGATTTTGACCGTTGTGATAAGGCCTGCGGCGATTGGCATGATGGTAGAGGCGAATACCATGAAGGGCGCGTAGTAGCCGAAGAAACTTGTACCAAACCCATGAACTAAGGAGCCGATCGTACCGGCGATGACGATAGGAAGCATCATGTAACCACTTTTCGCAGGCGTATATCCGCGAACGACTTGATAATAGGTGGGCAGATAGTACTCGAGCACGCTTCCGGTGCTGTTGACGCACATAATGAAAATGAAACCAGCGATGATGCTGCGGTGCTTCATTATGCGTAACGGCAGGGCAGCCTCGTCGCCTCGACGTTTTTGGTTGTAGATAAAGGCTGCCGTTAAAGAGATAAAAGATATCAAAGCACCTATCACTGGGCCACTATTCCACGGATATTTGGTACCAGCCCAGGATAACGCGAGGAAAAGACTAGTCAGGGCCGGGATGAAGAGCATGTTGCTAACCAAGTCAAGCTGTGATATCTTCTGCTTTAATTTTAACCTTTCAATGTCGCCAGGCTTCGGCGTATCTGAAAAGCAAAATATGGTCAATACGATAGCAACAACACCAATCGGGCCATTGATGTAAAAGCACCATCTCCAACCAAGTGATTGCACGATCGCGCCACCAAGAATCGGCGCAGATAGAGTGGCGAGCCCTTCAACTGCACCCATAATTCCTGTGAACATAGGACGTCTCCTCGGATCTGTCGATTGGACGAGAATGATAAAGCATCCGGAAAGGAGACCAGCAGCACCTAGTCCGGCGACAGCTCTTCCGACGATAAGCATTGTCGAAGTGGCAGCTACTCCACAGAGCAGCGATCCCGCTATCGAAATGAAATTTGCAAGCAGAAAAACACGCTTGATGGAAAATAATCTGTATGCCTTTCCAAAGACAAACTGGAAAGCACACTGGCACAGCCTAAAGGCAGACGAATACCAGCCAACATCCGCGACTGAATGAAAATGGTCGGTTATTGCAGGCACAGCAGTCGCAACAATATTCATATCTATGCTGATAAGGATCAAGATGGCACCTAAGTTGAGCATGAGGAGCCAAAATTCGACACCCGAGGGTCTCATGTTCTCCACAAACGATCCGCCGTGGCCGGACATCTCTTCGGTCGTGTGTTCTCGCGTGGCACTGCTTGCGATAGTCGTCGGAACCCTCGCTCTATTTTCGGCGACATTACCGGCCAAAGGAGCCATTTCCATTCCTTCACTGCGCGCTGTGATGGTCAATTCTGCAGCCGTCATTCTTGGAGAGTTGTGAAGAGGAAGCGCTTAGACCCATGACAACATTCATATTGGGCGAAATGATTACTAACAACTTATTAACTAACAACAAGGCATCAACGTTTTTCTCGTCGTATTGTAGGCACCTACACTTGAAGCTCGCGCCGACAAAATTCTTTCGGATGCCCTTCAGGTCACAGTACGATATTGCTTTGCATAATATGACACGACTTTCAAATAAATCATTTTTCATACTAAGTTGTCATATTTTGAGAAATTTTCTAAGAAAACTAGTATATCACTCCAAGGTTCAAGACGATACTTGATTCGCAATAATTATATTTCAAAGTCCGTCTAGCGGACGATATACTTTCATCCATCGCTTTGACTCGTCAGCATTCTGCGGCTTTTGTAACACGAAACAAAAAACTTGAAATTTGAGGTCTTACCTGGTCATACGGTTTCTCTGGATTCACAAATCGCAGATCGGTTGCAAGTCTGATCTGACTATTCGGATCTTTATTCTTGCAGCTGGCATGCACCATCCAGGGATTATGGAAAATAACATCACCAGCCTCATATTCAGCAATCAGCCATTTGCGACGGCTCTCCTTCCCGTACGCAACAGTATCACGACTGAGAAACCCCCCCATCGTTCATGTTCTTATTAAAAGCACTCACCCGCTCCTCATCAGAAAGATTATGAGCATTGCGTGCAAATTCAGCCTCTGTCCTGTTGCCAATATCGGTCGAACCCTCGAGATACATCAAGCCGCCTCCTTCCAGTGAAACATTTCCGATGGGTACCCACGCCGTCAAGCTTGTGGGCGGACCGGCTCGAAGGTACATTTGGTCAAAGTGGACCGGCGTCAGCTCGCTATTAGGAACAAAGGCGCGAAGCATGGTCCGCTGGAGCATTTGTGGGTTTTCCCAACCATTAAAGCGTGTGATGAAGTCTCGTAGTTCTTGGTTGGCGCATAGGTCGAGATAGAACGGTGCTTCGTGGGCGGATATCATCAAATTTAGATACTTTTCACTCTCGACGTCGTCTTTCAAGCCGAACAGGCGACGTAGGTTTCCTGGAGGTAGATATTTTCGACTATCCTTGTGGGAGAAGATGCCTTCCACGGGTGCGGTGCCGTCTTTCAACAAACCACTAGGCGCCATATGGTTGAAATAGGCTTCGCGACATTTGAGAGAGGCTTCTTTGGAAATACATCCTTTGACCTATATGAGAGAGGGTATTAGCATTGCCATGGCAGAAAAGTATCTGTACATACAAATAAATACCCGTCACGCTCAAACCGTTCGTGCATGATATCAAGAGGCGTTTCGGCTGAGGTTGGTTGGAGAAACCTGACGCTCCCAGGATCCATGGGACCGAAATTAGATTCCAGGCTCAGTTTATCGGGGTCTACCGGATAGTACGAGCCATATGTATCATTAGCGGCAGGCTTCGAGGTTGTCGATAGAGAAGACTTCTCAGTGGGAAGCCTAGTAGGGGCATCTAGAGATGGCGAAGCAAGACGACCAGGTGGCATGATGGATTTCGGAATTGAACGATATTAGATTCTCATGGGTTAAAAACAATATCAACAGACAGAGGTTCATTAGCAAAATAGGGGCGTTCGCGGCACTCATATACCCACTGCCGTAGATTCGCACTGGAAGCGATTCAACAGGCCACCGACCTATTCAATTTCCTTTGACTGGAAACCCCACACAATAATCAACGTCATATCGTGTGATTCGAAGCATTTCATAGAACAACCAACCTGTCCATGGAATGGCGGATCTATAGCCGTCTGCAGCCGTCTAGAGCCACACTTCCCGCATTTTTATACTTCAAGCGGGGAAGAAACTATCTATAGCCGTCTATAGCCTCGGCTATGCTCCCATCGAATTCAACCCGCATGAACCATCTTGCTAATTGGGGTGATACCATTGCTCTTTCCAGTCAAATCCAACTTCGACTACTGCGGCAAATAAGTGGACATGACTAGGAGTGTCGGATTACGGCAATATCGAGCCTGCGTACGCTGTCGCTCTCGAAAAACCCGCTGTGATTTGTTCGTTTCTATCCAAAGCAGAGTCTTTGGAGTGTCACATTTCCTCCAATGACAATGGCTAATACACGTCTTCTAGACAAAGTATCGGAGAAGCTGGAAAGCCTCCCTGTCTGAAATGCGAGCGCGAGGGGGCAGAATGTGTTCTCGCTGGCTCTCGGCGTGGGGGCGATTACTCTCGTTTCCGACAAACAAGGAAGACTTCGGCCCCGGATGCGCAAGCTGAGATGAACACAGGAGGAATAGCACCCCATTTTGATGCGAGTGTATCTACCACTTCACCCGGCAATGTTTCCATACCATCTACTCATTACAGCGACCGCCCTGTACACGACAACTTGCAGAACCCATCTGATGCACTTTTGATCCTGGCCCACGCTGCAGGGGGACCTGGAGACCAACGCCATCATGATGAGCGAGTCGAACCTTTTGCTTCATCACAGAGGAAGCATGCGGCGGCGAAGCCTGGGCAGACTGTCCCCAATGGCCGAGAACATCGCAGTGGCACAACATACCTCGTTCCCCGAGGCCACGACCACGACAATTTTCGGGAGGACGATGGTCAAACTACCTATCCACCGTTGCAAAACGGAACAATAAGTATGGAAATCATATCAACACTTTTGAAATCGTAAGTAACCACCGCATATTGAAGTTCATGCGCATCCTAACATTTCGACAGATATCATGAAAATTACCACCAATTCTTCCTCTCTCGTCCGAAAAGACATCCTCGACGGCATAGACATCTGGGAAAATCTGAAAAATGAATCATTCCTCATGAGCTCAATCCTAGTAATCGCCTCAAAGGACCATCCCGACCTGGTCAACACACACAAGGGATTATGGGACTACCTCCGCCAAAGAATTCTCGACGTGATCTTCGGGGCAGCGAGCACCCGACGCGTTGGCTATGTGGAAGGACTTCTTCTGCTCGGGGAGTGGAATCTTGTCAATCACGGCCAAACCGATGATGGAGGCGGCGAAGCGGCATGGTCTATCCTCGGTCTCGCTGTGAGATTAGCCTATCGCCTTCGACTGGAAGACGCGTTTCGAGGCGATGAGAATGAAGTAGATCAACGTGCCCAACGGAATCGTTTAGCATGGACATGTATGTCACAATCAACCTTCCAATCCCATCATCCTTATAATCGCCACCATCCATGAATCTCTTTTAAATGCATGGTTAGCACGCTAACAAAGAAACAAGTCACCTACCTCTCAGACCGCCAAATATCAATCCGAATGGGTCAAGCCTTCTGGTGTCGCGGGCCCGGTCTCGCCGTCCCCGTCACAGCAGAAGATTTCCCCTCCCTCCAATCCCAAGGCCCAAACAACGAAGAAAACCTAGCAACCTGGATCCAAGCACAAGTCGAGCTAACGACTCTATTTGGAAACGCACATGACATCCTTTTCCCGTCCAAGGCTCGCACCGTCGAACTCATCGTTCGAGGCGATTACGTGAAATATATCGACGATACAACTCGCGCTTTGTCCGCTTGGCAGTATTCATGGCGATCGATTTCCGTCTCGAAACATTTGCGGAGTTGTCTGACGCTTATGAGGGAATATCTTCGTCTTTATGTTAGTGCGTTTGCGTTTCAGGCTGTTCTGTATCGCGCTTCCAGGATCGTTCCAGAGCATACTAGTACTGATACTAGTACTGGGAACTTGAACACAACCAGAGAGACAGCAGGGGATCTGAGTCCGAGTCTTGACTTCCCCAATACAACAATGGCGAGCCCAGATGCAAGATACATATACGATGCTCTCGATGCAGCCGAGTCTCTACTAAAGATCTTCATCGAGGACTTCGATCCGCAGAACCATCTGCGCTACATGCCTGCACGTTTCTACTTGTAAGTAGTAGTACCCGCCATTGAGTATGCATGAATAACATGACTAACAACGTTGGAATCACAGATACGAAATTCACTCCTCAGTCTTCCTCTTCAAAGCCCACGCCTCAGGCGCAATTCCGCAAGCCCGCTACGCCGAAACAAAATCATTAATAACCCGCTTCATAACCCACCTTCAAAGCGTCACACCAGATGAAACCCACATATCAACCCGGCACGCACGACTCCTCCAAAGACTCTGGTTTCAGTCCGTGCCCGAAAATAATGCACAAGATGATGAGCCCGGCAGTTTGACGCAGAATTCCATCGCGGGCGGAGCAGTAGATGGAGGAGAAGCAGGAGGAGGAGGGATACTACCATTCCCGAACTTGAATCCTGGATCACAAGGGCCCGATTTCAGCACGGGCGTGGGCGGAATTAATCTTAATATGCTGGATGAAATTGGTCTTGAGACTTTTGATTATGTGGATGCTGTTGATGGGTTTCTTGCTATGCCGCCTGTTTTTCCGTATGATCTTTCAATGTTTTTTAATGGGAGGGCGACATCGACGGGTGGTGGGGGGGTTTTAGGGTTGTTGATCATTAGTACTATTAGCTATGGGATTTAATCCATGCATGGCCTCCTTCAAGGTGCAGACAGGCATACAGACCGAACGCCAAACGAACGACCAAATGAAATAATTCGCAGGTTTATACGAGATCACTCATACAACGAAGAATTGCTAGAAGTAGGAAGACACGCAGCCATCATATTAAGATTAAATAGCTAGCGAAGGCGAATATATTCCCGGGTCTGGGGATTGGATGATATCCACCCAAAGGTATGTGCAAGAGAGAAAGTAAGAAGGGACAGAGACAAAAATCAAGAGAAAAAGCAGAAACACCCAAATTTTATCCAAACACCGTCGTGCAAGACAATGAAGTCGAGTTGTAGACAGGGTAGAATCCTGCCTATAAATGCCTCGTCTTTGGGGCCACCCGTTTCCCGTAACCAAAAACAATGTATGTACACCACCGCTCAATCCAGATCCCCTAAGCAACCAATTCCCAGCGCAGCACAGTGCAACAAATGTTGAAAAGGTCGGGTGGCCCAGCAGCAAAAAGCCGTGCGCGGTGTTCCGAACCTCATGCACGTCGTGACGGGCGAGGAAAATGAAGAAGTGGGGTGTGGACCAAGAAGTGGAACCGGTGCAGCACTACCGTCAAGCGTTGCGAATGCAAAAAGCAACAGGCGAGAAGGAGGTGGTGGGGTTAAAGGGGAGGGAGGGGAAAAAGGGGGGATGCATGGACGAGGGCTTTTTTATGGCTTTGTGCGCTGCTGAGCTAGCACATTCTTATGCCTCCAGCGCCCAGCGCTGTTCACGGAGAGGGATCTCCTCACCGGCCTTCTTGCGGCTGCCATCCATCTCGCGCTTCCAGGCCCAGTACTCGCCCAGACGGGTTTCGGCGTAGCCAGCGTAGTCGAAGTCGATCTGAGAAATCTGGGCTTGGATGAGGGACCACACACCCCTGCGTGATGAAGTCAGTATGGGTCATTGTGTTATTGTTGACAGGGATATCCTGCGATTTTTGGGAAGATCTTACCAGTATAGGCCGGGAATACCGCGGAAACGATCGACGTCCTGAACCAACCGATCGACGATCTCCGCCTGGGAGGACTCGTCGAGGCCGCGGTTCTCGCAGTAGCTCTTGGTGTACTCGGTCAGGAACTGACGGCGCACCGACTGGGTGGGGGTCATGTTATAGTCGCAGTCGTAGCCGATCCACTCAGCCAGGTGGTTGGCAATGTCGAAGGCGGCGGGCGCAGGCACGGCGTATTCGTAATCAATAAAGTTGACGGCGGTGACGTCGGCCTCGGGCTGAGCGACATCCTCTGTCGGGAGGACAATCACATTGGCACACAGGAGATCGCAGTGCGAGAAAACAAGCTGGGAGGAAAACAACTGTTAGTGGGAATGTCGAAAAGGAGGGGCACGTCATTGACGTGGGTGGAGGAGGGGTATCCTACGCCGTCTTCGCCAATGCCCTTGCCATCATCCAGCTGGGCCAAGACCCACTGCAACTCCTGCTGCAGGCTCAATCGCCGAGAGCGCTGCTCCGGCGTGGACGCAGGAAGAGCGAGAATCCACTTCTGAAGGACAGCCCACATAGAGGGGCCAGCGCGACGCGGTTGGATGATCTCAAATCCGTCTTCCTGCTTGGCAGATTCCGCCTCGGCGTGGGCGATAATCGAGGACTCTTGCGTGTGCGCTGAGGTGGCTCCCTTGGTGGGGAGAACGGCGTGCCACTGGGCAAGACGCCGGGCAACGCCACGGTAGATAGGGGCGGTGACCAAGTCCAAGTGTCCACAGGGCTTGCCGCGAATGAAGCGGTAGAGGAGACCATTGTTGAAACGAGCAAGGAGGGGCGGGGCAAGGCCACGTGCGGCGAGTAGGCCATGCGAGGTGGTTTCTCCTGTTGGGACGCGAAAGCGTTAATTTAGCATATTGTCGTACGGGAGCCACGCGCTGAAAGGCCAATTGACAGCAGTGGAAGGTGAGGAGGAGGGGCATGAGGGGACCCCTCGGCCAGAGGGGGAGGTGGTGTTCGTACTTTCACGGTCGATCAGGATCTCTGTGCCATTTCCGTATGCGCGCATGAGCACAGCATCCTCGTCGATCTGCGCGTCGGTCAAGCCAGCCTTGCGATTGATAATTTTCAAGAGCTACAGGGCGGAGGTCAGTCAAGGATATCGAACAAGGCTCGCACGGCTCCTGGTGTAGTGCGCAGGGCGGGGAGGGCAGGGGACCGCTGCTGAGGCTTCTGGAAGGTGGGACAAAGAGACGCACAGTGTTGGTGATGCCATCGGTGAATCGCACAAACTCGATCTTGTTCTCGGGGCCCTCCCAGTGGGGGAAAAGAGTGAGAATCAGACGGAGGGCGGTTGCTTGGGATTCGGCGGGGCTGTAGGAGAGGGGAATGTAGCGGAGGGCGGGCGCGACGCCGTTCTGAGAGTCGGAGGAGCCCATGATTGAGAGGAAAGGATTGGAATAGGAGAGGCGGGACAAAATCAGGGGAGTAGAGGGATTTAAGTTAAGTGGTGGCCCTCAGTGGGAGCGATTTGAGCGAGACTAGCACTTGTTAGTCTGGGAAATTTGAGACAGCGTGGGATCGGGACTTCAATAATTCCCTGCAGCCTGGCCGATTGGGACGGGAGATCTGCAGGGTCGCAGTGATGAGGGAAAGAAACAGGAGGGAACGGAGCATACCGAAGGATTGGAAGAATTGAGCAGGTGGTCGCATGCAAGTGGGAGAGAGTGTGTGTGTTGAGTAGAGAGGGAGGAAGGAGGTGAGGCTGTTGCGGGAAAAAAAGAAAAGGGTCCAAGCCTCGAGGTCTCGTGCTTCCACACCAGGATGGGAAAACGGGGTGAACGGGGGACTGCAAAGACTGGGGGCCAATTGTCAAAGGGTTTGGCTTTCCATGGTTTGCCACGAGGGGTCAAATCTATTTCCAGTGGAAATTGGAGTATATTTAGAGTGGTTGTATAGAACAGTTATGTACAGAACTACACATGATATATCATAACCAGTAGAGGCTGCACGCTGACAGAGAGTATACCATACTCGTATACCCAGTCCTAGTCAGGGTAAAGTGAACCCTGAGAATCGGTACAGTCTCCGTTAGGGTACTTCGCCTCTCACCGCGAGGCAGACAAGACAAGCCTCCTCCTTCTCCACTCAAGAGGGGCGCCTCACATGCGATTCTGAAACAGGGGCGAGTCACGTGAGGATCACGGGATGTAAGCTACGGGATGCGGGTCACGGGGAGTCGAGTCACTGACTGCACTTGCCCTAAGCTAATCTTACCCTACCTTCCCCTTTAGGCTAGTGGATCAGACCCATCTCGGAGCAACGGCACAATACTTTTTCCGTACCCAATCAGCTCTAGCGCATCAGCAATTTTCCCGGGTATAAAGAGGCAGCTTTCCTCCCGGTCTTGCTTGTTTTTTTTTTCTTCTTCATCATCAGTAGAGGTTTTACATTACCATGTAAAATTCTTTAACACTGGGGCTCCATCAATGATGGCTTGCTGAGGGTTATTCTTGTGGCTTTTGCTCAATGGGTTTCCTTCCGTTCCCGGCCCCTCAGACTAAATTGCGTCTCCCTTTTTCCCAAACACATTATGGCTATGCTAGGGTTCCCTTCGGGGAGCTCCATGCGCTATAGCTGTGGAGGGGGCGTTACATTCCTTTTTATCATTCAATTATTTGTCTGGTGCTGATCGGATCACATCTCAGTTGTGATTCGTTCGCCAGATTTGTAGACTTTTTAAGCTGTTTGAGATCTGCTCGTAAGAGCCTCCTCCGGTCCGTAAAAGATATGCCGCCAATGCCTTCGGCGTCGGCAGCACTGTCTCTTGGTCGGACCGAGTCGGCATCTTCAATGCATCTCTAGTCTCTTAAATGGTCTAGTGTCTACGGATGCTCGAACCAGTGGAGTCGGAGCTTGATGCTAGTCTTAGAAGCACAAGCTGAGCTTTGATATATCTTTGCCAATTGGTATTTTATCATTGGGCAGCTGTAGGCCCGTCATGTCCATGGCCATCACATAGCTCGCATCGCATCACATCAATCATAAGCCATACTCGACATTAAGTGACCCAAACAGCCACATCTGTTTTATGGTTCCTGTTCTGTCCTGTCCTCTATGTATTGCACCTCATGCCCGACCAGCATTACCAATCTGGATGCGCTGGCCAGTCCACTTATCATCCTTGCGCAGCACCGGCCACCCATTCTGATCCGCCTTGACAAGCGTGAGCTCCAGCTTGGTGCCCAGCACCCGGAAGCTCGATTGTTCAGGATTGATCGGAGCAAAGAGCTCATAGGTATCCTGGTAGCGCTTGTTATCCGTGGTCGGCAGGTCGAGCTCGATTTTGTCCGCGGCGAACTTGACGACAGCGCGCTCTTTGTCGATCTTTTTCAGGTAGAGGGAGACATTGACGGACGCGGGGGTTTGGTAGAAATCGTTCCTAAGCCCGGGTTGTGGTTAGCTAGCTGGACAGCTTGTAGAGTAGCTCTGCTGCATATAGCAAAACAGAAAAGAGAAGAGTGAAAAAAAGAATGAAAGCCTTACCGGACGGTCTCAACCTTCTCCTCGCCAGGAGGCTTCGCCTTGCCAACAAACATGTGTCTCGTCTTCTCAGTGCAGCCAGGGATCTTCAAGAACTCGTCAAATTCAAGCACGCGGCGCTTGCAGCAGGACCATCCTTTGCTACCCTCGTGGAAGACCGGGTTGCCGGGGTGGTGCACGCATTTCTCTTCCTCACGGGCAATCGAGCCATTGTAAGAAGCCCCGCATCCTTTCCGACGGCATGTAGCGTTGGCAGGAATATCCAGGTCTGGATCGTCTGACTCTGGCTCCTCGATGACGGGCTTTGCGGGGGTGTGCCGGGAGTCGCAATGGCGGGGGTAATGGGAGGGCGCTCGGAGATGGGCTTCACCGTAGGGACAGGCGTTGCTGCTGCCGGAGGCTCTTCGGCCTTTTTAGGCTCGGGTGTAGGTGTGTCGTCGACTTCGGAGTGTTTGCCCGTGGTGCAGGGTGGGATGGAGAGGAATTCCTCAAATGTCAGAACGCGGGGTTTGCAGCATTTCCAGCCTGCGCGGTGGGGTTGAGATTAGCTTTGTTTCTTCGCATTGTGATGGGGTGTATAGGAGACAGATGACGCCAATTCAGGGATAGTTCGCAGCACCAAGGTACCTAAGGTCTAAGGTAGCTAGACTTACCCTTTTGCCCTTCGTGGAACACCGGCGGACCCGGATGATACACGCAATCTTCCTCCGGGTCGGCGAAGACCTTCCCACAGCCCTTGTGAACGCACTTTCCCATGGTGTGTAACGGCGGGGAATATAAGAAATGCAGGGATGGTGAGGGGGAGAGAAGGAGAGGGAAGGTAGGGTGTGGGTGTAGATATTGCCGAACGTGGTTTAGCTGGAGAAGCTCGAAGGTTCCATCAACGCGGAGAAGGAGAAGGCGGTCCGCCGATCTCGCGTCACCAACCTTACACCAGCTTTGCCTTGATTCAACACCAGCACTGACAGCTGACAGCTGACAGCTAAGCAAAACTGCTCTCTCAATATGTTTCCAACACGCGCCCTCTTCGGTCAAGCCCGATTGACCCTCTTTACCCGCGCCGGGTGTGGCCTCTGCGACAATGCCAAAAAGACAGTCGTGCAACTGCACCAGCGCCGCCCCTTTGAATTTGTCGAAACATATATTGATGAGCCGGGAAACAAGAAATGGAAGGATGTCTATGACTTTGATGTTCCGGTGATTCACGTACAATCCGTGGAGAATGGATTGCCCAAGGAGGCAGACCTCTCCGACGCTCGCAAGCTCTTTCACAGAATGACGGAGCAGGAGGTTGAGCAATTGGTCACTGAGGCCGAGAAATGAGACTGAGTTCAATACCTATTGGAAACCGTGTTCTAGCGCCAGCCATTGAGCTTGGATTCCGCGGGGGAGACGACGATATGATGGCCGGCCCATCGCGACTTGACCGAATTGGTGTCTCTCCGCTCGTCGTCACAACAAGTTGCGACAAATCAGCTTCACTGTTGAAAAAATTGCCTATATCTGCAATGGAAGCTATGGAAATGATAGCATGGCAGCCGGAGAGCAGGCACGGGCCGTGGGGTATATTTTTCAGCCTGCTGCTCCCACTTGTGACCTTTGTCTTGATATATCCCAGCTCTTTACATATCATCATCTGAGCTTATAATTTTGTGTACATTACTATATCTTTAGGAAAATTTATTGAGTCCCCAGGGACTCAGACCTGTGGCTGAGTCAGCTCACACTTATCTGTCGTTTGTACGCCGTTTGTTGTTATTGAGATGATTCTAGGTATTGCGTGGCGGTGAGGGGATTCTCCCTTCAAAAGTTTCGCAATCATCTTCAGTAGTATTCTACTTGATCTCAGCTGATCTCAGTCATTAAATTTCAGCCATGTACTTTGAATTGTTCTCACTTCGAAGGTTCTCAGGTACTTGAGGTGGTCAAGATTAGCGGATCCATGCCCAGGTGAGTGGTCCTGATTTTGGATTTCACCACATCCTGTTTGGTTCCTCACCTTCTACTACTAGTAGCGCCTAGTATCTTCAAGGTAGAGGCTCCCGAGTTCCAACTTCCAGAGTTCCCTCACTTCTTATTCCCGACTGGCACCTCCCAACTCCGATCTCTCACTGGCACCACACTCTTGTCTTACCTGACGTGAAATGGATGAAGAAATGGCCCAACCTCTGGACCCGACCGAACGCCAGGAACTGGTGTCAATTCTCACAACTCATCTAGAGGATAAGAGAGGCTCCTTAAAAGCACGTCTCTTGGGTCGAATCGTCAATTTCTTAAGATCCGACAATTCTAACTCCACTGATGATGACATTTTTTACATCAACGAAGAAAGAATGCGCCTACGTGAAGTCCTTCAACATGATCACAAGACAGCTCCCAATTATATTCCAGTTCGTGATTTGAGAAGTTTGATCATTTTCCTGAATACCTCCATTCTTGACGGACCCGCGAAGGCGACACAAGAAAGAAAGTTTTGCCTCGAGAATCTCGAGACTGCAAGAATCAGGCCCACTTCGCCCTTCAGCCCTTCGGCTAAGAGACTCCTACAACAAGTATTACGCCAAACCCAGTCCGAAGCCAGTGACAACCTGCTCTCAACGTTAGAGGCCTCGGTATCACTTGCCTCGTCACAAAGGATGCCCTTTTTCCACAAATGCATCGCATTCTTAGAATCAAGCAGCGTTATGTCAAAAGCCCCGATTTCCGACGCCTCTTCGTCCCCTGCATCTCCATCCTCTAGCAGTGGCCCAGCTCAGAAAACTTATATCGACGATGAAACACAAACGTTCGAACTAGGAAGCACTGATGCAGACCCTCCTCCGCCTGGCCCAGTGTTTCCCAACTTGCATACAGGTGAATCTCTCTTCGACATTACCGAAACTCATCCTGACCGAGAGCTTCTGAAACCATTTTGGGCTTTAGAATATCCCGATCTGCCAATCCTTTCCCGGCCCCATCTGAATGAATTTAATCAGGTATACTGGTGCAATCCTCCTAGAGACTCACTCACCTCTCCGCAAAGAGTAAAGGCAGCGATCCTTTCGTACTGCTTTGCTCTGTCTTCTTTACGGCCAGGGGCTAATGCCGCCAGATCAGCCGACAGCTATTTCCAACAAGCCCAGGAACTCGCTGGTGATTTCCTCGATCATGAAAAATCCGTCAGTTTGGTTCAAATTCTGTGTCTCAAAGCGCAGTATCTGTTCGCAATTGGAGACTTGGAAAAGGCTTCCGATATAATATGGCTAGCCAAAAAAAGGGCTGAGACTCTTGGGTTCCATAACAGAGCTCAAGGAAGGGCAATGGTGTCCAAGTCGGTTTCTCGGACCGCCGGAGAACGGGATAAACTGGTGGACTGGAGGATCTGGCAGCACACAGTGAATACGCATCGCTCACTTGCTCTCCGTTCCGGTGTCCCCTACCCATCTGTCGATCATCTTTGTGATGACGCATCCTCTCCTGTCACCGGAATAGGCCTCAAGAGGTCCGATATGCTCATCTTCGAATTCCACAAAGCTTGTTCGCGTCTGTACGCAGAGGTTGAAGATTTACTGGGCATCGAAGATACATTTCGGGTGGATTGGAGAGGAGGTTCGTTTGACAGATGAGAGATTTCTAACCTCGAGGATCTCGCGAAAATAGAGGCTAGCCTAAGGTCTTCAAAACAGTCTCTTCCTGCCTTCCTACACACCGAGGACGAGACAATTCCGCCCTCGGGAATAAATATGGCCCAACGATTGCGCACGGCGTATCAGCTCCGTCGCTCATTCATCCAGCTCCGTCTTTTCCGGCCCTTTCTCATCCTTTGCTACTCTCTATCCAAATCTGGAGTAGTCAAAATGGACAACAAGAGCTCTACATCTCTAGATGCCCGTGTATCTTTGAACTAGTCCAGCACGCTGGGCATAAGTGTGTAACAGCAGCCATGGAATTGAAAAACCTCTTACTGACCGAACCACACTGCGAATTCTGGGGAAGTATTTCTGGCTATGAGCACATCGACTACGTGTATTCCTGCGCGCTGGTGTGCATCCTAGGCTTCGTCTACACCGATTCGGGTCCTGAATCATCCAAAGACAATACCCGCTCAAACCTCCAATCCACACTGACCCAGCTCCTCGATCTATTCCATAAGTATGAGGTGAGGTGCATCCAGAATAGGAAGCTCATCACGCTTATGGGACGATGCAAATATGCTCTCCAAGGATTGGCAGATTTTGTCTTAACCCTGGAACCTGGTAGTGTTTCTAATCTCGGGCTCTCGGTTCATATATGGAAGGATTTGTTTCTTAGGATCAATCAGCCATTCGCGGAATTCCCGTTCGTCACTCATCCTTCCAGGCCGCCTATCACTTTTGCCTGGTTTGAGAGTGTCCCGGCGGATCTTGCGGATCAGCATGCAATCTAGGTTGTGGGCAAATTGGGTCGCATAGTAGTCGCCAGACACTTCAGATCTATCAAATTCTCACTATTTTAACGGATTTTTCTTTCTCTCACCCCTTCCTATACCCAATCTATGAGAGCAGCACTACTTAGCCTCCCAGACAACTCGACACCACGGGCCTCTTTCCAACCCTCGTAACTACTAACATGCTCCATATCTTTCATTCACAAAGTCGATATAAATGTGGAAAAAATACATCGCGAATAGTAGAAAAAATAATCAGATAGATTATTGGTTATGTACATGAAGAGTGTCGCATACAAATCATCATGATCGTCTCCGAAAGAGGCCTTTGAAGGCGCGCCGCTCAGATTCTTTGACAGGCCGCGAGTCTGAATTGGCTTCGCTGGGAGAGTCAGATCACCTGGATAGGGTTCGAGAAGATTCCATCGAGGCTTTCTGTATTCCTTCTATTTCTAAATGGTTAACTTCTTCTTTCAATCCATTGAGGTTTCCGGAGGTTGTCATGGTGTTCGGATGGTCTGGGCCCAATACCTCTCTCCGTAGCTTTAGGCAGGTTTCCATTAAATGTAATGCATCATGGAGGTTTCCGAGTGACCATCGAGACATAGCAAGATTATGGAGATAGAAGAGGGTGTCTGGGTGCTCTGGCCCTAGCACCCATTTCGCGATCTCGACTACCTGCATCCCTAGCTCTTCTGCCTTCTCTAATTTCCCTTGATCACTGTAGGTACGTGCGAGGCTGCCCATAGAGACTAGAGTATTAGAATGCTCTGGCCCTAAGACCTGGATCTTCTTCTTGAGTGCCTTTATCTCTAGCTCTTCTGCTTTCTCCAGTTTCCCTTGTGACCAGTAGATATATGACAGGCTGTCCATAGATTGCATAGTATCATGATGCTCTGGTCCCAAGACCTGACTCCATTTGTCGAGTGCGTTTATCCCTAGCTCTTCTGCTTTTTCCAACTTCCCCTGGGCACGGTAGATATATAAAAGGCTGTCCATGGATTCCAGAGTATCAGGATGCACTGGTCCCAGGACCTGACTCCGTTTGCTGAGTACCTTTAACTATAGCTCTTCTGCTGTCTCCAGTTTACCTTGTTGCCAGTAGACATATGCAAGATCTTCCATAGACTCCAGAGTATGAGGATGATCTGCCCCCATCGCATTGTCCCAAAATTCCATTGCCCACATCAAGGGATTTTCCGCTTCCTGGAATCTCCCGTCTTAAAACAAACAACGCCCTACATTTGCTGGAAAGAAAAAAGCCATGTCGTGGCTACCGGGCTCTGAATATCCTTATAACACACGTCGGCTGCGGAGTCATCGCTGAGTAGTTCCACAACATCAACCTCTTGCTCCTGGAGAAGCAGCAGGTAATCTGGTATTGCTAAGCCATTTTGGTTGATATATGCCGCAGCTTGAGTTACAGCCAATGGAAGAAAGCCAAGCTGTTCAAGAAGGGAGATTGCAGCATGTGAATCGTCAAGCAGCTTCGGTTGGATCAACGAATTTGCCAGAAACTCCATACCGGTGTTCTTGTCGAGTTCACGTAGCGGTATCACATTAGAGCAGGCTAGTCTCACGCCTATCCTTTTATTGCGAGTTGTAATGATAACATGGCCCTGTTCATTGTAGGGAACGAATTCTTCGAGAGGCGAGGCAGTGCCTTGATCCTTGGTCCACATTTCCATGTCATCTGCGTTGTCGAGGATCAGAAGCTATCTCCGACTTTTGTGAGTCAGCCAGGTTTTTATACGGTCTTTCGCATTTGTCGGCGTCGCATCGCTTATCCCTACTGCTTGTGCAATGGCCATCCAGGCTTGTTCAATAGCTTCATTACTAGTGCATGGAACCCAAAACACCGAACATTCAGGGTCACGGTCCCGTATACGGTAAGCTAGCTCTAGAGCCACTTGGGTCTTACCCACTCCGCCTAATCCTGCAATAGCAAGTTTTCTTTGCCCGTCAGGGATCGAGATTAGCTCCTCTGACCTCTGAACTTCATCTTGGCGGCCCACGAAACGTGGATTTCTGCCAAACGGGACAAAGAAGTGACGAGTCTCGCTGGTATCTGTCGATCATGAAACGCAGAATTTAGTTTCGGCAAATTGATTTAACGAAGGATTACTGACCTTCCTCGCTGTTGGGTTTCCAATACCCCAATAGAGTCTTTGCGGCGCAAGCCCCAGTTGCTGCAGCATATCCTTGCCACGATTTGCTTTTGTGGCTGTCCGCATAGTCGCAAACCCCCCTTGATGATTATGCAGGGGACATCATACCATACACCTGCTCCCTCCATTTCAAAACCAACGACCTTCTCTTTTTTGATGATCTGGTCACGGTGTTTTCCAGACTTCATCACTGTATCGGCGGAGGCGACCGGCCCAATATGCGTCGAGACTTCGACAGCCTCACCGGATATTTCTCGACGACGTATTACTTGGCGGTTGTCACATCCAAGATCGTCGCAGGTCTTCTCCGATGCGTCCTCGCAAACCTCATCAGATGAGTTGATCTCCAAACAGCAGCAAGGAGAGCATGAGTCTTGGTTATAATGTTTGTGCACGTGAGCAACATCGAAGAGGATGTCTTCAACGCCCGGATGGCACCATCTGCGTTCAGACTGCTGGAGTGGGCGAAGGTACTGCATTACCTGAGCTTGAAATTCAGCCCGGGCGCCGGATGTTCTGAGACCATTCAATAGAGTTAAAATTTCTCGATCTGTTCTGCCGAGGGTATCCTTGATGCCTGTCTTTCTCTGGAATCCGCCGGGATATTGGCGGCCAAAATCGTATTCAATCACCGAGTCGCTAATTATCACATCGCCGAGAAACACTTCCTGATCTTTCGACGGCGATGGAGCGCCCCCGCAGATACCAACGACCAAAGCAATCTTGGTTCGAGGGTAGCTGATTCGCAGACCCGACGTGACACTCGCTGCACTTCCCTTTCCCATTCCTGGCATGTAGCACAGGACCACATCGTGTTTCCCAATCCTTCCATTGATGTATGCGTTCGCATCGCCATCCTGTTTGCCGTAGTATTTCCCGAGGCGGTCATAGTTCTCGTCGAAAAGCGCTTCGACAGCGTCAGCCTCGAGAGGAAGAGCACAGATGATCGCGGCCGCAAAGTCGTTGCGGCTTTTAGGTCGTATCTCGGCAAAGGCCTGCGAGAACTGATTCTGGATAAAGAATACGTAGATCTCTCTTGAACAAAGAACAGACCGATGGAGATTCCAGGGGATTGAAACTGGGGGAATTACATCAGGGGGATGGACGATCCGAAAACTGTGTCCCCATCCTTGCCATTCCATTCACCAGCCGCGTGTGATAGCCGCCCGAAGGCGGGGCTGTGCATGAGGCTGACATCGACGGTCTTTCTCGGGCAGCAACTTGTGGGGATTAATAAGATGGCAATTATTTTAGAGCAAACTATTCCAGTTGGCAATTATATTGGTTATCCACAATTAAAGATGCGACAGAGATGGAACCAGACTGTTTTGACCCACAATATCAAATATCTAGTTGATTTGGCTGGCTGCGGCGTTTAGAAGTCCTTAAAACCTTATTTCCGACGACGTCTCACTTGACGTCCGCTGATTCCTGACAAGGCCCTCCCCTTCGCAAACTACTCCTCTCTCTCTTCCCATATATTGGAATCTTCTAGTGGAGATAAAATGACAGAACTCGATCTAATGGAACTAGACCCAGTCTCGAGGCGCAAGCTCCAGAATCGCCTCAACCAACGAGCAAGCCGTGAGTGGCTGAGGTGCTTCGCTACCCCCATACCTACCATTGTACTGACTTGAAATCAACCGTCAGGGAAGAGAAAGGCCATCGAAAAACAGTCCAAGGGACAAACAAGACGATGGGTCGTTTATACAGATGAAGCGCACTCCTTGACACGGGACAACTGCAAAGAGAGCAAGGCGGTGACAAACCGCCATCCACGACTTGAAAGCCCATTAAAGGAGTCGAATAAAGACAACGAGTATCTCTGCGCAATGACCCACATATCGCGTGCGCAATATCTGGCTCAACTGCAATTCAAAGTGACCAATAGCGTTGCGAATAATTTCCAAGCTTCCAGTGTCCTCCTGTCGGTGACCCAATACAACACCATGCGAGCGATGGTCGCAAATGCGGAGACTATGGGATTGTCGCTACAAGCTCTGTGCGAGGATATCGCGTCCTTTTTCAATATTGCTGGTCCAGGCCATGGATTTCTGCAACTACCACCCAGTTTGCAACCGAGTTCTTCGCAGAAACAGATTATTCATCACCCGTGGATCGATCTTATTCCCATAGAGTCTCTCCGCAACAGTCTCCTGTCTCAAATGGACGTCTACGATGAAGACGAACTATGCACTGATTTCTACGGCATGTGCGGCCCATCGTCAGAAGCCGGGCTCATTGTATGGGGCGAATCGTGGGATCCCTCCGCTTATGAAATTTCCGAGCCATTTTTCAAAAAGTGGAGCTGGTTGCTGAAAGATTGTACCGACCTCATACAATCGACGAATTATTGGAGAAAGAAACGGGGAGAAAGGCCGTTAAAACTCGAGCTTATCCAGGACCGGATCAAGGAGGTTGAATGATAAGCAATGCAATTCTCTCATGAAATCTATTTTGTAACGACCCTATATAATGACATGCACGGAGTTTGGCAATTTTGAATATTCATGCCGGCTTTTTCCAATAGAAATACCAGAATCCAAATGATCATACCGCGAAAAGATTGCCCGATGTTTTACGATCGCACTAATACTTTTCTCCGACAAATCCTTCACTTATTTCCCAGAGACGCGTCCAGTTGTTTTCGTCCTGGATGTGCGAGTGCAAGTCATCATTCGCGACGGAATTCTGGCTAATATGAGCACCGGTAGAGTCTTGAATTAACTTGTTAGCTTTTCCTATCCATAATCCTTGACTATGTGTTGACGAACCTGCGATGGTAGGGTCAATCATTCCAGTGATGATATTCGCAGCGCCCTCTGAGCGACTGGTCCAAGGAGGGAAATCGAATTTAGTTCCATCCAAGTCAACCAAATCTGTAGCTGTTAATAAAAGCTATATGATAGGGGCGGGGGAATCTTACGGCCAGCCTTCATCATCTCGCCAACCTCAGCTTGAAAGTCTTCCGTGAAATGTCTCTGCAGCCCAGACTGAACAGCTTTGGAGGGGTCAGCAATTCAAATTTTAGAACATTCACAGCTCAAATATACGTACCACCGGGATCAATACTGAAAACTCTGATGCCCTTGGCCTTCAGCTTCTCAGCCAATTTCTTGGCAAACATTGTTCGTGCGACATTGGACTGGCCGTACGCAGCATAAGCCTCATATGTTTTGCCCTCCTATGACGAGTTAGTGATGCCGATTCTCAATTTAAATGGAGCCATCCACTTACACTGAATCCAATATCATCAAAGTGAACCTTGCCGTGGCGGATGCTAGAGCTAGACACGATGATGACAGATGAAGAGGGGCCAGCCGCCTCAACCTTTGGCAAAAGAAGCTTGATCAGCAGGAAGTTTGCGAGATAATTGACTCCGAGTTGCATTTCAAATCCATCCTTTGTTTTGCCGTATGGACAGATCATGACACCTGCCACACAGACAACGTGGTCGATCTTCGAGATATCGACGAGGTCCTGCGTGGCAGCCTTTCGAACGGCACTCAAGTCTGAGAGATCCATGTTGAGGAATCGTGTTCGGACATTGGGGTTCTTCGCGTTTATCTGATTGATTACTGGTGCCACTTTGGATTCCGACCGAGCACTGAGGATGAGCATCTTAGGGTCGGCGGCAGCGAGCTGAACGGCCAGTTCTCCCGCGATAGATTCATCGGAGACTCCGGTAATGAGAACTGCGAGTGTCGCATTTCGTTAGAATCCAACTCGAGGTAATTGCAAAACAGTAAGCTCTACCTGTTTTTCCAGCAAGGTTCTTTCCATATTTTTCCAGGATAACCTCTGAGCGGAGGATTTGTTTGCCAGACATCTTGCAGTATAGTTCGAAAAGATTAGAAGTGAAGAGATAATTGTTCGTTTGTAGCTAGTATCGAATTGATTCACAGGTTCGGAATCACAAATGGGACGAGATAATATGGCTCCTTTTATAATTTTCCATTGCGTCGATTGCCATAACTCCGTCCGAAAAGTGAACGTAAAGAGGATAGTGGTACCAAAGCTATTGGGGCCCCTAATGAGGTTAGACTCGCGTCATCAAGGAAATACTGATTATGTGATTAAGAATAACTGGAAGAAAGACAGCCAAAAAGGGTTAGATTCTGGTCATCAGGGTCAACCTTAACTTAATACACTTACTGACGAAAACTACCTAAGCACCCCCATTGTAGGCAATTTAAACAAATCTGACCAGAATCGGTTAGCGTGTTGTCATCATACTATTTGCCACATGAGACCCACCCATAGCATTGTCAAATACAGCTAGCTTATTCTACGGTTAAGCCCGGGCCTTGAAGGAATCACAGCCCTTCGGAATTCTCCAGGGCTGTGCTACTATTATCCCGAGTTGATCATTCGCAAGGCATAGCAACTACCCGTATGGATAGCTCAATTTACTAGAAATTTGTATAATAGTTTTTGAACATTCCACCAAAAGTCACCCCGGATGAGAATGCTACTACTTAATTGTGACACTGGTATGTACTTCAGGATCGAAATCCGTCGATCGGTTTTTATTCAACATGCTCAGGTGGATATCTCCCTAGAGCCCATTCTCGTTAGCTATGTAAAAAAGCGGAGTTTCAATCACGGAAGTTCTGAATTCCAAGGTTAAAATTCTAATCAGGTAGTAAGCCGGCGGGAATATATACAAACAGTACGGAGGGCGCGAGAGAAAAATGAATAGAAACTTGAAGAAAAGCACGAATGAAATCAAGTAAACCCTAGAAGGAAAACTAAATACACAGGCGGCTATGCCTAAATGTAATATAATTAAAAATAGAAAGTGAACAAATATGAGTTCTAAGTAAGAACCTTGGAAAAGATAGGCAGACAAGGTTATATGGGAAGAATCCATTGATAGGCTTTCCAAAGGTTGACGGGACTAGCGCAAAATCTCTAGTTCCTTTTCAAAACGAAAGTATCAGCGTCAAAATTATAGTGATTTCTCAAACGAGTACCGGCACGCCTTGCATGTATGTAGCTCATATTTCGTTCAGGATGAGGTGAGTGAATGATTATGCTTTCAGCCCTCCAAGCTACTGGAGGCGTAAAGCGGACCTCAGATCCACCCAACGATGTCAATCCAAATCCTATATTTGCCATGGCTTGACAGAAACTATTCCAGGATAGCTCGCCACTGTGATCAGTTTGACCCTCCTGGAAAAATAAGTATTGTAATGTAGGTAGATGACGTCGAACTACTTCAATATGCTCAGGGATTGGTGTTTCCGGGGCTTCGTCTGCTTCATCAGGAGTCCCTTCGCGTATTGGCCGCTGCGCCTTCGATACATCGGCAATTCCACGTTTCTTGGCCTTCTTTTTAGGAGGTGCTATCACTTCTTCCTCCTCCAGGCCAGCCTCATCACGCACACGTTTAAGGCTATCAGCAGAGGAGGCTGATTTTGGAGAAGTTTCTTTACTTGGAACGGTTGGAGGCACAACTGACGGGTTGTTTTCAATAACAGATTGCGGCGTTGTAGAGGATTTCTGGGAGACTTTCGGAGGAGGGCTAAAGTTAGGCGTGCCGGTTATCGGATAATTAAGAAGGTCTTTCAAGCTCTGCGGTAATCCAACTCTTCTTAGTAGCAAATCCACCTTTTGCCAAATCTTTTTGAGACTTCGCTCTGCTTTTTCGCCGAGGAGCGGTGTTTTTTTTGGTCTGAGGACAGTTATAAAGGGCGTCGAGATCTTTAAGAAAAGGGTCCACTAACTCATCCCACGAGCCTTTTCCCAGAGCATCTCTGATATCCGCTGACGTTTTTGAGAGCTTTTTTTTTCTCGGCAAAAACATGTTTTTCCTCGACAACCGATGCATGTGCGAAGATTAAGCCCCAGGGTTGGTATTGCCAAATTTGAGCGCAACAAGCTCCCAAGACTGTTAACTTTGCGAACTGCTTTGCCAGCATCGGAGATAGCTTTCCCCCCGTTATTCCATCATATTGAATAAGACGCTGCAGCTCGGCTATGACAAGGAGATCATCCAGGTGTAAACAATCTGTCAGTGTATCCTCTGCCAGGAGTCGCCCGACGATGCTTGTAAAGGTTCCATACTCCTTCATTGCCTCCGATTTCTCTGTGTCCAATCTCACGTGATAGTTATTTTTATAATCGGGATTTTCGTTGCGTAGAAACATATCACGAAAGTTCGGAGATGCAGCGAATGCTTTACAAAACCAGTCAACCTCGCTTACCAAGAGAGAATCGAGTTTGCCTTCCAGTGCAACACAGATTTTGACGAAGTCTTTGGGGATCCTTTCGCCAGCCTGACCCGTGGCTTCTTGCAGTTCGCTTTTGTGCTTTTTTGCAATTTTCTGCAGCTGACTGAACGATTTCACTAAGTCATCCACATCATTATATTGTATAAGCATCTGACCAATCACCAGACCAATAAGCTCACCGTAGAACTTTTTGGAACGGTTTCCTTTACTCTCCACCAATAATATCTTTCTTCCTTTCACAACTGATATATTCTCGACATAATGATCTCTATACTCACACAAGAGATCCGCAAAGAAAAGTGGGTTTTGTCTCATTGAGATTATCTCATGTCCTATAGCTGATCTTCTTGCTCTTAGGATTTCTAATAGTGACTTTGTATCTGCTTCGCCAGGCTTCTGGTAGCAATGCTCGGTGAGCAATTTGAGTATCGGGTCGACCTGAGGCTCCTCAAAAGTCCGAGATTGGTCGTTGTGTAATTCTCCCATGCTCGCTGTACTTGTCGGATGTTCATCTCGAATTATGGTTGACTCTGAGAGGGTATCTGTACCAATGCCGCATATTGCGCTCTGCTATTAGACATCAAAAGCTGGAGATTCATATGTCCTCTAGTATGTCCGTTCCTCCTCGTTATCGTCGGTGAATGGAGGAGGATTTCCCGAGTCTGCTTGTACCTGCACTGCTTCCGGTTGCTCATGGAATTGTTGCAAATGCTTTGTGAAGTGCAATGGTACTTTATTTTAACCGGTCGCTTAGACTAGATGGATCCTGAAAGAGGTGTGACAGTCTTTGAGCATCTCTTTGACTGTCTTTGAAAGGGCATGATTTCATGGCCACGTTCAACCCAAGGATTACAGAGACCTAGAAAGTACGAGTTGACAATGACCGGAATGTTGGCCTATCTGAATGACAATGATTGGACCAGGAAGGCTGTGGTGTCAATATATGGCAAATGATCTACGAGAATCTCAGCTTTGACCCACCGTTCATTCATCCATGGCATGAATACTGTACACATCAGATCTCCGACCTACCGTCACCCCCCCTTTCAACTGGGTACCAAGCAATGCTCTCGATTATCCCCTAAACAAACAACAATCCCATCCCGACAATGTCGCACCATGAACCACAAAATCTACCAGAAAGTCACTCCGGAACAACTTCCCTACTCCCCCACTCCGAGTTCAACTCCGACAATCCCATAAACCCCAGGATCATAGCCGGCATAATCGCAACCTGGATAGCCACATTTCTTGCCGCAGCCGATAGCACCATAACCTCCACCCTCTCCGCTACAATCGCCGCTGAGTTCGACTCGCTAGCAATAATCTCATGGTTGGGATCAGGATACCTGATCGGTCTGACAGCGACACAACCGCTGAGCGGTAAATTGAGCGATATCTTCGGTCGACGCGCCAGTTTCTGCACAGCCGCGAGCCTCTTCACGATCGGAAATTTAGCCTGCGGCTTTGCGCACTCCAAAATCCTCCTCATCTGCGCCCGTGTCATCACAGGTATCGGAGGCGGTGGGTGTATTTCGATCGCGACTTTCATCGCGTCGGACAATGTCCCTCTCCATCGCAGGGGGACATGGCAGGGGTTCAGCGCGGTGGTTTATACAACGGGGATGGGGTTGGGCGCAGTGATTGGTGGTGCGATCAATGATGCTGTGGGCTGGCGATGGGCGTTTATTGGTATTGCGCCTATCTCGCTGGTGTCCGTAGTTGGCGTCACTATGTTCGTGCCAAAGGATGAGCATGTATCATCGAAGGGATTTCGCAAGCTGCTGCTTCGAGTGGATTTTGCAGGTTCGGTAACTCTTGTCTATGCACTTGTTCTGTTGTTAGTTGGTCTCAATCACGAAGGCGAGCAGATTATCACACGTCAATTCATAATCGCCGTTCCCTTGGGAATTTTTCTTCTGGTGGTCTTCCTCTTGATCGAGGCGAGGTGGGCCAAGGAACCGATTATCCCGCTGTCGCTGTTTCGCCAACGAACTGTCGTCGCGTCCTGTCTGACAGCGTGGTTCTTGTCAATGGCCTTCTACGCGCTGACCTTTTATGTCCCGCTGTATATGAAACAATTGGGCTATTCGACCAGTGAAATCGGCGTGAGTCTCTTGCCGGACTCGATTGGCGCCGGACTGGGATCGTTCCTGGTTGGCTTAGTGATTCGTGTGACTGGGAAATATGGTATTTTTCGCTATACCATGCCACCGCTCGTGGTGACTGCGTCCGCTGGGTTCTACTGGATCTCAATGGAGACCCCTTGGGTTCTGCCGGAGATCTATTTATTCTTTAAAGGTTTCGGCATGGGCGGAGCATTGACCATGTTGATTCTGGCCCTGCTCCATGCTGTTCCACATGAGAAACATGCCACTGCAACTTCTGCCTTGTATGCCTTCCGATCAACTGGGTCGACGATGGGTCTCTCTGCGGCCAGTGCAGTGTTTAACAGTCGACTTGGCCAGAGCTCGGGCGCGGGCGGAGTGTCTGCGTGCGCAGAGACGGATGAGTGCTATATGTATGCGATTCGCGGGGCGTTCCAATTGGCATTGGGGTGCGCGTTTGCAGGGTTAGTGTCAGCTTTGTTTAT